ACTGTTCGTACCTCGTGGCTGATGTGCCAGAGGTTGCGGTCGCGGCTGTAGATGGATTTCTTTGTAACGGGGACGGGCACGTTGTGCTTCTTGGCGTACTCGATGGCGTCCTCGCGGCCGCGGATGTCCCACTCGCGCCACGGCGCGACGACTTGCAGCTTGGGGTCGAGCGAGAAGAAGGTGAGCTCGAAGCGGACCTGGTCGTTGCCCTTCCCCGTGCACCCGTGCGCCACCGCGTCCGCGCCCACCTGCTTCGCCACGTCCACCATCGCCTGGCGGGACGGGTGGCGGGGGATGGGAGGTGCGGGGAGGATGGGGAACGGGGAGGAAGAGAAAGCAGGATTGGAGTGCGTTTGATGCTAAGGGTTCAAGTTGGCTCGAGATGAAATGCTTATTACGGGCCACAGGTTGGTAGCATGCCATGGATCAGGAATGCATGGGTGTAGTTATGATCGAAAAGCGATCATTCAGGATTCCAGGGCACCATTGAGCTAGCAGATTGCGAGGCGTTCAGCCCTGACACGTTGAAAGCTTAATGTATGTATAGAGAGACGGACGGAGTCCCGGAACGGAAGATCGTGTGAGGCTTCCATGGCGACAAGAAACAATGCAGGAAAAGAGCTCACCTTGGCGATGACAGGGCGAGCCATGGACGTCCCGAGCAGGTACTTGCGCTCGTACACCGCACCAGCGCGAATGCAGGGGAAGACATAATCGCGTACAAACTCCTCCTTGAGATCTCCGATGAACAGCTGGCTAGCGCCGCTCGCCTTCGCCTTGGCATCCAGGCCGTCGGTCTCGCCCACGCCCTGGCCCACGTCCGCGCAGAAGCAGACCACCTCGCAGCCGTAGTTCTCGCGCAGCCATGGCACGATCACGGATGTGTCAAGTCCGCCGCTGTAGGCGAGAACGACCTTCTTGAGGTTGCCGCGGAGACCGCCCTCCGACTTGGTCGCTGTTTCAGCAGCTGGTGTGGAGGGGAATGAACAATAAGGAGAGTTTTAGTCATGCATTGTGAGATCGAGAGTTGTTATGATGAAGTGGGTGGCTGCCTGTCTTGATACAGTAAGGATGTTCAGATCCAAGGATGATTCTCTTTTTTTTTTTTTGTTGTCTTCCTCTTTATTTTAAACAAAAAACAAAGGTTTCTTCCAAAGGAAACGAGATCAACTGGTGCTGCTGTGAACGGGCAAGAGGAGAGATGTTTGTGGTCGATCACTCACCAGAAGCCATGGCTTTAGCGACGAGACGGGGGCAGTTTTGAGAGCGAGAGCTGCACTTGGCTGTGTTCTGTCAAAGCAAAACGCAGACACAATAACGCACACGGACGGGTAAGAAAACAACATCAGATAAGTGGAAAACGAACGAGACCATGAGGTGACAATGCAATACCTTAGGCTTCAGGTTGGAAGCCTTCACCAGGCTCTTGCCTAGCAACTCGCTGCTCTGGACCGAGAACCGGAGCGTCATTGCGGAAGCCATGGCTGGATCGACTGAAAGAAGGATTTAAACGTTGGAGGAGGTACGAGGCGTAGCAGCCTACCAAGCTGGAGAACCGGAAAAAAACTGGGAAGAATGAATCTGGAGGGCGAAGAAAATGTTGCTCCGCCAGAAGGATTCCAGCCAGAGGATGGGTTGCTCGATGCGAAACGGAAAATATTTCTCCAGCGAATACAATGCTGTACATTCCCTGCTTTATTTATCCGGAATGTGGAAGGGGAGGGGTTTTAGCGGGGGCGTTCCAGCTAAAGGAGGGAGCCGCAATTGTGGGTAACCAGCTACCGTTTCAGTCCAATCACGCTCGCTCGTAGAGCGTGGACCACGATTTGGGATGACCTGGCACGTCGGGATCTAAAACGACTTTCGGCACAACGTGACGGCTGAGCGGAGAGTGCTGATTGGTTAGATTTAGGAGGGGCGGAAAGAAGGTGGTCGACGTGGCTCCGAAGGTGTGAAATACAGGGAAGATATGCCATTCGTAACGAAAATGGACTCGAAAACATTTTTGGTACAAAAAAATAAAGGGTACGGTCACTGCAAAGGGTGTTTTCACGCGACTGATAAAACGTTTCACGGAATCAGTCACTAGTAACTGGTAAGAAATCACGCGAATGGTCACAGATGAAACTCCCGCCAAAAAATATAACCCAAATGGAACCTGGATTCATTTTCGGACGAATCAAACCTAAACACGTAAATCGCCAGGTGTTTAGGGTTGATCCGTTCCCAAACCGCATCCGATTCCGATTGGGTTTTAGTTTTGTTAGAACTTAGCAGATTGGTTGGGCGCGAGCGGGAAATTTATAGAGTTTCAAGTTTTTTTGGCGGGAGTTACATGTGTGACCATTCGCGTGATTTTTTACCTGTTGTTAGTGACTGAATCCGTGACCCCACTTACCAAACCCGTCAGGAAACCCGATACAGTGACCGTACGCATTTTTTTTTACCATTCGTGTTATCGAGTCCCATTTTGGTTACTTGTGACATTTTTTCCCGTAAAATACAGGTGTAGTGCTCCACAAACCACTGGTATGAAGTGTAGTGACCTTTCCTCATGTTAATATGAGAACACTGTTATCGAGGTTAAGGACTTTGCTTCTTGGGAACATTTTGTGCATCCTTTCCTGCCCCTTCGGAAATATGCAGCGACAATTCGTGAATCCATCGCACAGTTCGCCCAATCCACGTCTTTCATGTGAAAAGCAAGCCAGCTGTCCAACCTTCGGTGCTCCTGTGTCCTGACAGGGGCATTGGTTGTGTCACCAGCTATCCAGTCGAGTGTGTGGACGAGGATGTCGCACAAAGCAAAGTCTGGGTTGATGAGGCCACTCACACCCTCACAGGGCCGACGCTTCGCTCGAGTGTGGATCAGTTTCCCAACCTTGCAGATCAGTTCCCAAGATCAACGCGTCCTGCTGCAGATTAGGCATTATCGATCGCTCATCGTCCAATTCAGACGAGTGAGACGAGTTGTTACTGCAATTTTACGCTTGCCTCTCGTGCGACCAATCTGTTTTCTCGATTTCTCAATGGCCGCAGTAGCAGCAGCAGCGATAGCAGCAGGAGCAGTCGCCGCATCGTTGCCTTCACGTGCGGCAGTCAGGTCACTTCAAAAGACATCGACAGCTGGCCGATCCTTCGGCAGACTCGTGTCTACCGCGCTTCTCACAGCTCACAGCAGCCAATTGGCTTTCTTCAGCGGCTGCCAGATCAGCTATGCCTTGTCAGACCCTACCGCTAGCAAGGCTCGCAGACGATTCTCGGCTGCAGCTGGCGCCCGAGCGATGGGTCGCAGCGACACCAAGTCGATCGAGCAACTGGTGGAGCTGGTGAAGCAGAAGAACGGAGAACACCCTGTGGTCGTCTACTCCAAAACATGGTGCCCGTGAGTTCTTGAGAGGGAAATTGAGTTTGTTATAGAAACGCAATTGGGAACGATTTTTGTTGAGTCCAATGAATAAAGCACTGCAAGTTGTTTCTAGCAGCGTAATCACTTCCACTGATAATCGGAAGGAGCTTTGCTGAGCACAGAAAGAACCACGTCGATTAGTTATCTATAAAGTATTTTTGGGCTTTCCTGTACCACCTTCACACATTCTGCATCATGAATTCCCGCGTCAACGCCCTGCTTCTTTTATTGTGCTGCAGATACTGCATGGACGTGAAACGTCTCCTCTCCAAGCTTCACACTAAAATGCTAGTTGTGGAGCTGGATGAACTAGGTGAGTTGAGACAAGGGTGCGGGACAGTGTCGCTGTTGGTCGAATGAACTGCGTCTGTTCTTCTTTGGTGCTTTGGTTCAAGATGGAAAGATACTGAACCTCCATATTGTTGGGTGCAGTGGAGGAGGACGAGCTTCAACAAGCTTTGTATGATCTCACTGGCCAGCGCACTGTTCCCAACGTCTTTATTGGTGGAAAGCACATTGGCGGCTGTGATGGTGAGTCCTGTTACCATGTGTCTTTTTTTTTTTCAAATCTGTGTGCGTTTCATGTTGTGAAGGGTGTCAAGCTCCTCATATGGCCTCTCACTGTTACAATGATGCTGTTTTCTATTCACCATTTTCCGTTGCTCCGTCATGCCATTTGTATTGTGTGCAGCAACGGTGTCATTGCACATGCAGGGCAAGTTGGTTCCTCTGCTGGCTGAAGCAGGTTAGCGAGCGATCCCTCGTTAGCAATCTTTTGAGCTTGCGGGTCCACATCAAGTCGTAAACGGAACTGACTAAATTTGTTTTTTACCCTGCAGGTGCCAAGGAGGAATGACTACTGACATGGATGAACAGGATTATGTTGAACAGAATGAAGCATGATGCCAAGCTGTAATGAATTGCCATGCCATACTTTACATTACACACATCGGATGCCTGGCTGGAGATGTACCCCAGGAGGAGCAGCACGTGCAAGAAAGCCAGTTGGGTTCAACTATATGAAAGTACCAAGAGGAGGTGTTAAGGTAGGTCCGCGTTCTTCCATAGTGACGTTTGGTGCCCATGCGCTGCTGCAGCAACTCTTCTGGAAACTCAGTGCTGGCAAGCTATGGTGGATCAAATAAGGATGAATGAGAAGTTGAATACAGAATTTCTTGGAACAAAGTTGACACATCAAACTGTACCTGCATTCACTTGTCAGAAGTCACTTGTCAGAAGTCAGACACGACGACCAATCGCCGCCTCCGATTTGAATTGAACATTTCGCAACTACAGTGCAGGGAGCATCTTTTGTGCATTGGCATCCTTTCTTTCCCTTGCCGTCGATGGCTCTCCAGACACCTGCGTACTTCGTAGGCATCACTGCACACTAGTTGCCTCGATGCTCTCAGCGTGGTTTGAAATGCAAGGGCAGCACGTATCTGTCTACCATCAGACCCTACAATACGAGCGACTTATCCCCGACCTCTTGGGTGTTCGTCAGCTCGTTGGGCGATTATGCATTCAATTTAACATGGCGTTGCTCGGATTCGCACATCTTTCGTTGATCCTCGTGACAATAGCGAAGGCGATGGCCGCGGACTTTCAAATAATCGATGATCAGCTTTTGCATGCCGAAGCGCGCGAGCTCTTAGATGTACAAACTCACATTGCCGATATTCATACACATTCTATGAAAACAGCTCGTTGCATTCGATGCGATTGATTTGAAGGTACCATAGTACTCGACGTGACATGTACACCATTGTCCCTTGATATTTCTGTCTTCGGGTCATCCCTATCCGCTCGTCGCAGGCATGGACGAAGCTTTACACCCTTGACGATCGCGGAAACCCTCCGGCGCTCTCCCCGCTCGGCGCGCAGCTGCTCAACGGGTCCGATGCGACCGATTCGCTGCAGAATCTCGTGAAGGATGCGCAATCCCCGCGCGCGCCCGTTCTTGCGCCGCATCTCCAAGATTGCGCGGAAGCCACACGCGCGCGGGAGGCGATGGACAGGCGAGGAGCAAACGGGGAGCCCCCCGGGTGGACGGATGCAGGCGGAGACTCCCCAGAGGCGCGCAGCAGCGGCGGAGAGCCGCGTGCGCCATGGGTGCGCGGGGGAGTGGACGCGAATATCCCACTGACCCACACCGCTCAGCGTGATCTCTGGCTTCACCAGTTCCCTGCCAACTGCTCTTCCTCCTCCCAACGCTTCCTAATTGCGCCATGGATCTTCTTCGGCGGGCATGGGTTTGGATCGCAGCTGCACATCATGACCGTCCATCTGGCTGTTGCGGTTGCAACAAACCGGATCCTTGGCCGCCTCCTCGAAGCTTCGGTCGCGCGAAGCACCCAGGATGTCCTGGAAACGCTTTTGGTGATCTGAGCTGCTACTTCTCCCCTCCGGTCGCACAGGAGTGCATCGAGAGAGTACAGAGGCTAAGGCAAGATGAGGTGGTGCAAGTGGGGCCGAACGCGAGTATGGGAGATACCAGGAATGGTAGTGGCAGCAGGGGGCAAGGGAAATGGTCTCTGTGCGAAAATGTGATGGAGGCAGCATTGAGTGACAGCGTGGCAGTCCAGCCTGGCATGCGATGCTTCTCTGACCGAGAACTCGTGCCTGGGTACGTGCTACTACACTTGATTTCAACCCCACGAGATTTGGCTGTTTTAGCTTGTCCTCCCATTGTGTACCCGATATTGTAGGCTTGATTACAATTGGATCCCCTTCTGTCACAACACGTATGGATGCGTTTGTCTGTTCTGATTTTCGCCCTTTGTGTCTTTGCAGCAAATGGGGAGAACCATGGGTTCTGACTGACCATCGACATTGGTATGGGAATCAGCCCCAAACGTTTTCTAAGGTGGGTGAATAAGCAGTGTGTGTTGCCATACCAGAAGGAATTCTTGATCCCGGTACTCGTTCTCTCTCTACCCAAGAGCGACTGTCATGTTACCCTTAAACAAGTAACCACCCCCACTCTTCACCACCATCTCTTAATCTTCTCCGTCGCCCCCTGCTCACCACCATCCCACACTCTTCACCGCCACCCATCACCATCATCCCCAACTCATCATCACCACCCCTCCGAACTCATCACAAGGATGCCTAACTCATCACAAGAATGCCTAACTCATCACCACACCCCCCTCACTCATCCTTGCCACCCCTCGTTCGCATCACTGCCATGTGCCTTTCTCATGCAAATGTGCTCCCAAACCCATCCCAGATTTCATGGTGGCGAGCTCAGGCCATCCGCTTCCTCCTGCGATGGCCGTCGCTATACCTCTGCCACCTCACCAACATAGCACGACACAAGGCGTTTGGCCGCGATGCTGCCATCAGAATCATGGAAGCTTTCTCTGCTGAGGCTGTAGCAGAGGACAGCTTATCCTCCTTCGTTTCTGCCCTTGCATCTCCATCATTTGACAATCGAATGGTGAATGAGACACTTTTACATGACGTGGCGATACAGGATTGGTTGGGAGAGGAGCTGTTTGTTCCTAGGCCAATGGTTCATGCATGTGCGTCAGGGAGATAAGATCAAGCTGGGAAAGGCGGAGTCGGTTGCTACTTGGATGAAAGCTGCTATGCTGCTGAGGGTGCATGACCCGTCGTTGCACCGCATGTGGATTTCAACAGATACACAGGAGGTTATGGATATTGCAAAGCAATATCGACACTGGCACGCGTATTGGTTCGAGGATGAGCCCAAGTGGGACCCCAAAAGCGAATCGCAGAAGAGGACAGAGACAAGGGATTTGCGTGCCTCGGTAGAGTCTAGCCTTGTGAACCTTATGCTGGCAGCTGAGTGCGATTACTCTGTTACGACACTAGATAGCAATTGGAATAGGGTCATACACTTCATGCGTATCACAGGTGGTAGGACCAATAACCCAGTTATTGCACTGAGACATGGATTTTGGTAGCCTTTTGCTTGCCAAATCTTTCTGTACTGTAGCTTTTATATGGCTGATGAGAATTAGCATAGCAAGTAGTCTTGTTAGATATTAACTCTTATGTATTTACCTGAACTTGTATAAACCGTTCTTGAGAACTAGGTTGTTTCGTCTAACGAATGTTTTGTATACGGTACACTGCACCAGCAAGTTGACCTTCCCCTACGCAAGTGGTGACAGCCGGAATTCATACCAACCCGCGCGGCACAGCGAGCCTACAGTCCCTTCGCTACTATCACTCCGGCAACTCCAGGATCGTGCTTCAGGGAGGCGAACATCTGTGACCGTAACAAAAGTTCAGAACGTTTTCACCTCGGTTTTGCATGGCTCCACCTGGTTCAATCTCCTCGTGCGTGCTGTCTCTTTCCCCCATCTCTCCCTTTCCTTCCCTCCATTCCTTCCATTCACCCCATTCCTCCTCTCCCTCCGTTCCTCCCTCCCCTTCCCTCAATTCTCTCCATTTCCTCCCCACCGACTTGGTCTCTCTTCCCAAACCTAGTTATGGCTGCTCCGCAGTAGTCGTCTTCCCCCAGTCTGGGCTCTGGAGTATTTATTTTCCCAGGTCGACGGTTAGGGTTTCCAGCAGTATTTGAAATGGACGTAATAAACGGCGGCTTTAAGGGCGTAGTGAAGACTCTCGGTCGTATCGGCAAGCAGAGAGATCGTGGTACGTGATGGTCGTGCTGCTGTGCCACGCTTCGACCAGGATTGAACGCCACGCGTCGCTGGTCTAAGCTACTAGAACACCTTGCTTAACATATTAATCTTATTCGAGAGCGTCCGTTATGATACAGTGAAGAGGCTCCACTGGTTGTGTAATAGGCTCCTTAGTGACTGTCTGTTTCGGCTTCATTATTCTTAATGCCCTTCCCCTTCCTAGTGCCACGGTATGTTCTCCAAGCTCCCTATTCCACTGATCTTACCGCGTCAGGCAACCCAATCGTAGCATCAGGCCAATGGTACAATCTCTATTTAATGTAGGCCTCCTAAGCTCGTACAGATCGTTATTCCCATCTCTGTAGTTCAGAGAGTCCGTGCAGATGAACAGTGTAGGTCGCGACATGTCTGGAGACTCGTTCGCCACAGTCATGCGTCACTCGTAGCATTATAGGAGCCGGCCGGCGTGGCGTTTCTTATTGTACCTCACGATGAGCATTTTCACCAATGCATAATTATCAGACATATTCACCTCGTTTTCTGGTTTCCAATGACTACTGGTTAATTGGCAAGTCTATCTTGCGACCTTTTGTCTCTCGTTAATCTAGGTTTCTAAATTTCGGTAGTTGATTTCAGAGCATCCTAGCGATGCGTGAAACTGCCTTATTCCCCCATTGTCGCCTATGCGTGTTCTCACCGTCGAGCTAACATGCTGCCAAACAGTTGACATATCCTACCTACCCATTGACTGTCTTGCGTCGTCATGCCTGTCGTTGCAATCCATCTCTAAGCGCCTCTTTTTTTTTCTTCCTTCGTTTATTCCTTCTATTGTTGACGTTGCGGTCTGTTTGCTGCCGGTCGTTTGTTTGCCGTTCACCTGCCTGCTGCCGGCTGCCGGCTGCCGTCCGCCGCCTGTTTCCAGCCGCCCTCTGTTTTCCGCCCACCATCTCTCCTCGCACGGTGTCGAGGCGGGCGTGAAGCACGTGCCGCACGTGGTGTTTGACCGTTTCAAACGCCCTCCATCTTCCTGCCGTCTGCCGTCCCTTTCCTCACCGCCGTTCTGCCATCAGATGATAACGACAAATCCTTCCCATGGAAATTGTTGAGCCAATTAACATCAAGCACGTGGCAGTGGCTCTTTTAACTTTTTTCCGTTATGTTAATCTCCATCCCCCTTCCCGCCCAACGTCTGCGCTCAGACGATGACGAGGAAGGCCACCCGCTGGAGATCGGCGAGCCAACAGACGTGAAGCACGTGGCGCACGTCACTTTCGACCGCTTTAAGGGTTTCCTGGGTCTCCCGGAAGACATCGAGGGCGAGCTGCCGTGCCGCGCGCCCAGTGCGGGGTAAGCTGCCGTCGCTCCCCGTGCGTGCTAGGGCGTGTAATCAGTGCGTGCCAGTGCGTGTCAGTGCGCGTTAGAATGTGAGGGCAGTCTATTCTTGATGCGCCTAAAGGATAGGATGCGGTTGTTGTTCGCGCGTCTAGTGCGTGCGGCCAGGAGCGGGCGGTGGGGAGGGATACGGTTAGCGCGACGGAGAGCTAGAAGGTCGTTTGATACGCCCGTGGAGACTCCGCCATTGTGCAACCTTGGTTTTACTTTTCCACTCCCTCATTTCCCCCCGCCCTCATCCATCCCTCTCTCTCCCCCCACCCACTCGCATCTTCCCCCTCGCCTCCCGCCCTCCCCCCAGGCGGTCCGTGTTCGGAGTGCAGCCGGAGCTGCTGCAGTGTTCACAGGACGAGTTCGGCAACAGCGTGCCCAACATTCTGCTGCAGCTGCAGGCGCTGCTATACGTCAAAAAGGGACTCCAGGTGTGCCTCCTCCCCCTCCCCGCGCCTCCTCTACGTCCATCCTCCGTCTTTGTCCCCTTCTCCCCCTTTCCTCCCTCCCCTTCTTTCCACTCCACCCTATCGACAAGTTCGGCATTGGTCTCAATGTTCCCCCGTCCCCTCTTTCCCCACCCCCCTATTTCTTCCCCCCACCCCACCGTCACCTCATCCCCTTACCCCGCGTGCAGACGGAGGGCATATTCCGCGTGGCGGCGGAGAACGACCACGAGGACGAGATTAGGGATCAGGTCAACATGGGGCTCGTGCCGCAGAGCATCAACGTGCACGCGCTCGCGGGGTTGATTAAGGTGAGAGTCACTGTGCTGCGAGCAAGGAGAGGTGTGTATGTGTGGGTACGTCCGGCAGACCAGGTCAACATGGGGCTCGTGCCGCAGAGCATCAACGTGCACGCACTCGCGGGGCTCATCAAGGTGAGACTCTCAGCGCTGCGGGCGAGGAGAGGTGTTGTAGATTTTACCTCACCTAGCAGGTCACGTCAACATGGGGCTCGATCTGCAGAGCGTCAACGTGCACGCGCTCGCGGGGTTGATTAAGGTGAGAGGCTCGGTGCATCTATGACCAAGCCGAGCCGCTTAACAGGGTGTTGGCTCGTGCTGCAGAGCATCAACTTGCACGCTCTCGCAGGGCTCATCAAGGTGAGATGCGCAATGATTCGTGTGGCAGAGCATTGGCGTGCGCGCACGGGCAACGTGCGCTGCTGGATATGCAGGCTCGCAGAGACGATTTCAGAGGCGCCTCAGTTATCACCTCGTGTGGGTTTGTTTCCGGGCTGCAGGGCACTGTTGGATATGCAGTCCCGCACAGCACGCCACCGGCCTCACCGCCTCACACCGCACCTCACCCCCCTCTTCCCGCCCCACCCTCCCCACCACTCCCTCCCGCTCCCGCCCCCGCCCTCCCCCGTTGTTCTCCTCCCGCGCCAGGCGTGGTTCCGCGAGTTACCGCAGGGGCTACTAGACTCGCTACCAGTGGAGGTGGTGGCGGCGTGTGAGACGGAGGAGCAGATGCTGGCGCTCGTGGCGGAGCTGCCAGAGACGCAGAGCATACCCCCAGCTTACCTGCCCCACCCCCCTCCCCTTTCCCCTCACTTTCCCACATCCCCTCCCCGTCCCCTTCCGCCGTCTCCCCTCCTTTTCCCTCCTTTTCCCCTCCTGTCCCCCGCTCTTCCCCCAGGCGTGGTTCCGCGAGCTACCACAAGGGCTGTTGGATTCCTTGCCCGTGGAGGTGGTGGCGGCGTGCGAGACGGAGGAGCAGATGCTGGCGCTGGTGGCGGAGCTGCCCGAGACGCAGAGCATGCTGCTGGACTGGGTGGTGGGGCTCATGGCTGACGTGGTGCAGTTCGAGGAGCGCAACAAGATGAACGCACGGAATATCGCCATGGTTTTCGCACCCAACATGACGCAGGTGGGTCGAGCTGGGTTAAGATGGGTTGAGCTGGTTCGATTGTAGCAATCACCTGGTGATTCATGGTAGTTGAATCACCCGGTGAATTAATCAGCACAAGCAGGGTGGGTTGCTCTGAGCGCTGATTGTGGGCCAACACGGAGCCCGTTACATTGACTCAGGTTAGAGGGAACAGATGGCGTTCGCGAGAAATGCGAGGAATGACAGAAACGACGCGAGGGAGCGTAGAGGGGGCGTACAGGTATAAGAGTTGAAAGTGGGGTATGTGGAGGGTGTGGTGAAGCGTGTATGGATGATTTAGGGGTGCTTACAGAGTCTATAAGTCTAAGGCAAAGGGAGAGTGCTCACAACAGACGTCCACTCTTTGTCTCCCCCTCCCCCGCCACCAGGTACTCGACCCCATTATGGGGCTGAGGCACGCAGTGAAGGTGATGGATCTACTGCGAGTGCTCATTGAGAGGAAGCAGCAGGAGCCGTTGCGAGAGGGCGGTAGTGCGGCGCTTAAAGCCTTTGTTTACTGCACCCAGCCGCCCACTATTGAGATATTCGAGGAGCCGCGGCAGAGAAGTAAGGAGAGAGGGGGGGAAGCAGGGGAGGGGGCGGGGGAGGCGGAAGTGGGTGAAGGGGAAGGCGCGGATAAGGACGAGCTGCTGGCGCGGATGGGGGGTGAAGGGGAGGAGGCGGAGTTAGATGCGCGGGGAGGGGAGGAGGGGGACGTGGTGATGGGGGAAGACGGGGGGGCGGAGGGGAATGGAGGGGAAGGGAGAGGGGCAGCAGCAGGGCAGGTGAATGGGAGCGAAGGGAGAAGGGAAGGGGACAGGGTAGGAGAGGCAGAGGACGCGGGCATGCCAGCAGGGGAGGCAGGGGAAGCGGGCCTTAACCGGAGCAGCATCAGCAGCGGCAGCCCTTTTGATGCTTCTAGTAGTTCCCTACCGGGCTGGTCGCCACAGGACAGTCAACTGAGTCAAGCAAGTCAACTCTCACAGGACGAAAGCCACAGCCTCTCCCTGTCGCACCTGCCTAGAATCGCCAGCGATAGCCCTGTCCATCCCAGCAGCGGACTAGCCGGTACAGTAGACCCCAAGGAGCTCAGCCGAAGGGTAGCCAGCGGCCCTCTGCAGGTCTCAGCAGCCGCAGCAGAGCGGTGGAGGAAGAGGAGAGACCCGAAACCAGCCCCACACCACACGAGAATGGCTTCTCATGATGGCCCTGTGGGAAGAGACGTGCTCCCCTCGCCTGGGTTTTTTCGGAGTGGCAAAAACGCGCCTCAGTCCGATCCTACGGCCAAGGAGCGGCGGGCTTCCCGGATCGGAGTCCCCACGAAGATGTTTTTCAGAAGGAATCTGTCGGAAGGCGGGCCGGCGTTTGGGCGGGACTGGGATGCGGAGCGGCGGAAGATTGCAGCAGAGGACGCAGGAGCAGCAGGGGGGCCTGGAGGGAGGGGGGGTCTCGATGGGGGGGACGTGGCGGAAGGGAGGGAGGGCGAGGGGGAGGATGAGGTTGGCGCAGGGGAGATGGAGTTGAGAGGCGCGGAGGAGGGCGTAGGGTCAGGGCCAAGTGTGGAAGGCCAGCAAAGGGCTGGTTTGCCTGGTGCTCGGGGCGCTAAGAAGCTACTGCACAAGTTTGGCACAGGGCTCAAGGTAGTAACACCTGGTGGGGCCTCTGGGGGCGGCTCTAGTGGGGAATCGTCGTCGCCCCGCGGGCAGCTGTTACGAAGGTCATTTAGCTCCAAGGGGTCAGGTTTAGGTCCTGCTGCTGATAAGGTATCGGCGGCGGCGGGTTCTGTGTCGACAGGTGGGGTGCCGCCGCCTGTCCCAGATAGGCCTTCCCGGGTTCTACCTCCGACGCCGCGCATGGGAAGCATGCTAGAGAAGCCGGTGAGGAATGTGGAGAAGGCTACTAGAGGGGTGGGGAAGCTTGCGAGAAGCTTCTCGGGGAATATTGACGGGCACTGGGGTGCTATCAAGCGGGAGATGGGGCTGGCGGTGCGCGGAAAGGGGCGGAGTAGTTTTTCTGGTAATGCGGCGGGCCCGGTTTCGTCAGCACCAGGCGGAGTGGATATGACAGGAGCGGGCGGGTTAGGGGTGGGGAGAAGTGATGGTGGAGGGGCAGAGAGACCGTGGGAAGCCTGTGAGCAGGTTGGGGAGGGGCGGGAGATTCTAGATGGGGTTATGGAGCATGGGGCTGAGGTTACTGTAGAAGCTGTAGATGCTGTAGATGCTATAGGCACTGTAGATGTGGGCATGGATTTAGGGTTGATGGGAAGGGATGGTGGAGGTGGGGATGCAGCGGTTGATATGGAGGGAGGAGAAATGGCGGTTGATGTTGTCGTTTGCACAACTCCTGGTGGGAGGGAGGAGGGAGGTTGTGGGTCAGATGAAGATGTGACAATGGAGGGAGCAGAAGAGGGCCGCAGCAAGAAGCTAGGAGATGATGATGACTGTGGGGATGTGGGAAAAGGGTCGTGGGAAGGAGAGAGCGGTGAGTATGATTTTGGTTATGGTGCCGTAGGAACATGGTGAGAGATTGCGCTTGTTATTGGCGGTGCAGCATGAGCTGATTCATGCCGTTCGAGAATTCAAGTGTAGGTGGCAAAACCTCTCTGTATGGTGAAGAGATTTGTATTGTGCTGGATCCTAGGTCAAATTTGGTCAAGTGATGCAGCAAGCAGATTAATCCAACAGCTGAGATCAACTGCTGGGAGCTCTTTGTGGAATGCTCCAAATCTAAGTCCTCTAGGCTGTCAACATATGTACATGAAACAGACTAGGCTTAGTTTGTTTACGTTTATCACCTTCATAACTCGATATGGGTGCAACATGCTGCACTCTGGGCCTTGTGTCCGTCTCATGATGGCGCATCACTATTGCAACTCGGCTGATTGGTGGAACGTCAGTTTTTAAAGCATCGTACAGCACTGTACATGTCCGCGAACTCGTATTTTTTTCAGCAGCATTCACCCTTGGCAACATTTAGCCTCAGTCCAGGTTCTACAAGCAGCATTGCCCACACAACCACACATTCACAAACAAAGTTACTAAGCCGAACTGCACAGGAATGATATTCGAGACCCTAAAATGTTTGTGGAGGACCCTAAACCTTGCGGGCTGATTCGCGCCGGAATTTTCAAGCCCCTCCGCGTGGGAGGCACGGACATCAGCGCAATTGTGCGGCGTAAGGCCCCATCCCTGCTCTCCCCGTCTCACCACCACCACCCACCCACACCCCCCCAACCAACTCAAACAGATTTCTCGCCCACGGCTGCGCCAATCAATCACCCCCAATCACCATCGAGGCGGCTCGATGTGGATACAGCAGCATCTCCACAAAGTACAATATTCGTCCCCATACTGTCACTTGTCTTCGAGCCAGGGGAAAACTCTTAAACCGCAAGAAGCCGTTCTTGAACCCTTTCGACCTTTCTTTCCATGCTTCTTGCCGCTGATTTCGGTCTGCCCGTCATTCACCGCCTTTGGCACTAGATTTCCCCCGTCTTGCATTTCTCCCTTCCCTGCCATCCACTCCATCCAAGGCATGCGCTGTAAGAAGCGCCTCCTTCCTCCAAGGCAGCTGTCATTTCATCACGCAACGGAAGGGAAATTATACGGGAAGTCACAATTTTCCCCGTTTTATCACGTTTGGTCACAGGGGTATCACAAACAGTCACAGTACAGTAGATTTCTATCGCGGGTGATCACAGTGCTATCACGGATGGTCACACCTTGCCCCGAAAAGCTATCACGTTTGGTCACTCGATGTAACGAGTATAACTTATTTGAAACCACAAAAGAAACTGTAGAGATTTGGGGGAATCCCAATCTCGATTGCTGGTTACCCTCGCGCATGATTCTAGTCTGACATTTAGGGAACTGAAGAAAAAACTAAACCCCAAAGGATGGCACACCCTTCGGGAGGCATCAACCCTAAACACCTTGCGACAAGGTATTTAGGGTTGATGCCTCAAGAAGGAAATCCCATCCGAACGGGTTTTAGTTTTTTCTTGGGAAGGAAAAATAACCTTCAAGTTTCACCCGCCTAAAAGTAATATTCTTAGGGTCATTATGCACAAATCGAACAGTGGACAATCCAACCGTGAACAATGCGCAACGAGCTAGTTTTCCGATGTTACCAATGGTTTTTGCGAGTTGACGAGAGTGGTCGCGAAAATATTTCGTAACTAACAGCGTCTCGCAACACTACGGACAAAACAGCGCGCGCGATATAAATTCGGCCATTTTCAGGTGCATGCAGCTTAGTCGAGGCGCGTTATTCAGGTGCATGCCAGGTTGCGTACACTTTTCTCAGGTTAAACAATTTCTCCCGTAAATGAATACGCAGTTCAAGATTCGATAAAAATTGACACAAAAGGTCTGAAATAGATGGAATTTCGGAATACGCAAATCGGAATCGGGATGATTGGCTTTCGGTGCTGCATTTTCTGACGTAAATTAGTGCAATGATTGCATTTCTGCCCAGTTTCTACGCAATTTTTTGCTTCGCACCAAATCTTTTTGAACGGATTGTAATGCTAAATCGTTTGTACTGTTGGCGCAGGTGGCGGACGCTTCGCGGGTCAAATCAGCAAACTCTAGTGGGACGTGCATTGCTTGAAAAGGGTAGTCCGAAACACGATAAATATGCCCGAGTGTTAAGAGTGAGTTACCCCTACCGCTATTAAGGATATATCGTATGTTACATGTATATTTAATGCCACGTAATTAAGGCCGTTGAATACCACCTATTTCAATATGCACGTACGGCAAACTTAGTTTGGTAGAGGCAAAATATACAAACACTCACGAAGGGTTTGCTGATTTGCCATGCGCAGCGTCCGTCATCTGCGTCAAAAGTACAACAGATCTAGCATTAGATTCGTTCGAAATGAGTTGGTGCAAAGCAGAAATTTGCGTATAAATTGGACAAAATGCAATCATTGCACTGAGTTACGTCAGAAAATGCAGCATCGAGAGCCAACCATTCCGATTCCAATTTGCGTAGCCCGAAATTGCATCTATTTCAGACCTTTTGTGCCAATTTTAATCGAATCTTGAACTGCGTGTTAATTTACGAGAGACATTTTTTAACCTGAGAAAAGTGTAAGCAACCTGGCATGCACCTGAATAACGCGCCTCGACTAAGCTGCATGCACCTGAAAATGGCCGATATAAATTTCCCCTGTCTCCCAACAACTACTTTAGTAGTTACATTAATTAATTGGGCATTTCATCTGTGATAGACTTGTGGGGCAAGCTGTGACTATCCGTGATAGCACTGTGATCACACGTGATAGTTACGAAGTGTACTGTGACTGTTCGTGATACCCCCGTGACCAAACGTGATAAACCGGGCCTAATTGTGACTAACTGTATAATTTCCCCGCAACGGAACGACCCCGACAACAAAGTTCCTTCCTTTCCCAAAAATCTCTCTGGGTGCACTGTTCTGCACGCTAACTGCTGGTGGCTTTATCCAACCGCCATGCCTGGGAGGGCCAAATCCTCCCCGTCCCGTAGCGTACGTCGTGCTTGTCCGCGTAATGGCCTCCTTCGAAGCACTCGGCCTGCTTCAGTTCAGTTCAGGAGGTCGAGTGAGTCTCGCCACCATCGCCTGTTGTTCCAGCCGCCAGCCACCACACCACACCGTGAGCTCGCCTCCCCTCTTGTTTGGCTTGTCCATGTCTCCACACCAACAACAAACCTCCACCCACCTTTCTACACCTAACTTCATGCTACTTCGACGTTTCTATCATGCTGGTCGTTGACAGCCATTGCTGCAGTAAAAGAAATACTCGATAACGTGCTGCCTCTTACTCCCATTGCACATTGTAGACGTCTCCTCCCTTGGAAATATACGAACACCGAGCGTGCCTAAGGGAACACGAATGCGGTCCGGTTCGTCCGCGAATTGTGTTTAGAATATTTTCTTTCCTCAGTCAAATCTCGCTCCTCTGTTTCCTCCCGCCGCTGCCATGGCCCTCGATCTTCGAAAGTCCATCACCAATGCTCGACTCGCCGACGCAACTTCTCTTGAACCTTCCGACCGAGCATTTTCCCTCTCTCGCCTCCTCTCGCCACGAAGCGGCATTCCCCGCTCCTCCTCATTTTCGCGCGGAAACGACAAGAACGACGTCAAATCGAATGTCTCTGCATTATCAGCCTCCGTCTTATCCGCAAATGCGCAGTCTGCGACCGAACCTGCCGGGCTGCATTCTGAAGCAGCGCGCACAGGCTCGGGTGAAGCCGCTGGCGATGGCTGGGTAGCTCCTCAGGCTACAGCTTCGGCAAGGGTAGCGTTGGAGGTTGAAGGTTCGGAACAGCCGAAGCTTTTGTTGGAAGCGCGTTCGGCCCGCATTGCACACGTCAGCCGGGGATTGTTGCGAGCCTTGGGTTACACCAACTCTGATGATTTTGGCGGGAAAAGCCTGTACGATCTGGCGGATGGACTCTATGAAGCTGATTGGTCGAGAGCCGTAGAGGCGGTGACGAAGAACAATCGCGCTTCGGTGCAAATTCACTTCAAGCTGCTGAAAAGCGACAGAGCTGGCGATCTTGTCGGCACGCGCGTCGCTCTCTCGTTGAACGTCGCAGGCGACGAAGAGGGCGTCGCAGGCGATGGACCGTTGCCTGCATTCCTTTTCGGAGACTTGTCGCCAGCTCCGCCGCAGTCATCGGCGCCAGCGGCGGGAGCAGCCAGCGGTTTCCGGGTGCGACGCGTGGAGGTGATTATTAAGGAACGGTCCCAGGACCCGCTACAGACAATGACGGGTAAAGGAACTGCCGAGCGGTTAGCGTTTCATGACAACCCTGGAAAATACCGAGATCTTGGAGGCTCAGATTGCGACAGCCTTGGCGACAGGAATGGGGACTCGAGTCGCATAGATGGCGAGTCCTGCGACAACTCTCTCGAGAGTTCTTCCACGTCAGCGGAGCCCCATTCCACGTCACCGCAGGAGCAGATTACATCACCAGGGTCGGACTGGCAGGCGGGAAGCGAGACGAACAGCGATTGGTCGAGGGAGAGCGAGTCGCAGCAGCAGGGCTTAAAAACCGGCATTGGAGGAGCAGCAACGAGGGGGAGCCACGCGCAGCGGAGCGCAATGGTTTCCGCGTTTGGCGCGCCCTCCGGGTCGACCACTCCCCCTCGCGCCCTCTCCCGCCCCCCTCGCCCCTCCCGCGGAAACAGCTACGGGGGAAGCGGCTCGCGTACCGGAGGCTATCACTCCGCGCGCAAGCCGCCCGTGCCACGTGTCAGCAGCACAGGTTCAATGAAGTCGGTACAGTTTCATGAATCGTTAGAGTCCGTTCGTTGTAGAAGCAGGTCGCGATGCGACAAGGTTGAGAATCAAGAGGGGGAAGAGGGGGACGAGCAGGAAGAGGAGGAGAATGGGTTAGAGATAGACGAAGAAGGATTGGCATTAGCTCTAAGAGAAGACCTCGACGATGAGAATGCTGCTAACGAGGATGCCTACAGTGAAGCAGAAGACGAGGACATCACATTCCCAATCGCGCCTCTTGAGGATATCCAGAACGCTTTTGAAGACGACGACGACGATGACGAGGACGCGTATATTGGGGATGGCAGGGACGGGGAGAGTGCAACTGTCGCTCGGCATATTTCGGACGTTCGTGAGAGGCTTGCGGCGCGGAGATCGTGCCACCTGGCGCGCGGAGGGCGGGAAATGGACGCGGACGCGATATCGGACGAGGACGAGGACGAGGAGTCGTGGGAGCGCGTGAAGCAGCGCTGGGCCGCGCAGCAGCAGCGCCTGCAGCAGCGGGAGCAGCAGCAGGTGGAGCAAGCGGTTCAGGCAGCGAGGGAGAGGGAGAGGGAGCGCGAGAGGGAGAGGGCGGGGAGAGGCGCGGAGGAGGGCAAGAAGCGGGCGTTCGGGAAGTGGGTTGGCGGGGTTTGGGCGGGGGACGGGGGAGAAGGAACGGAAGGTGAGGGAGGGGGCGGCAGGGAGGGGGGGTGGAGGAGTGAGCGGAGCGAGAGGAGCAATAGAAGCGATAGCCCTGCTGGCAGATCGCTGCGCATGAGCCTGAGCATGGGACGATCACAGTCCCCTGCCGCCCCAGCTGCGTCTAGCTACGGCCAAGCTAATGATGAAGGGAAGGTGCGGGAGAGGGAGAAAGAACGGGAGAAGGAACGAAAAGGCCCAGCCCTAAACAAGGCGGTGAGCTTCGGGAGAGTGGGCTTTTTGCTTTCGTCCCCTTCGAAGAGAGAACAGAAGGCGTCCAGCAGGTTTGGGACTGCCGAACCAGAGGGCTGGAGTGAGGATCGGCGAGTGGCTGCTAGTCGGTTTGCTGAGGAGAGAGGGAGGAGTGGTGTGGGGGTGCAACAGGAGAGAGGGAAGGAGGAAAAGGAGCAAGAGGAAGAAATTTTCTGGCTGGGATCTCCCGTGAGGGAAGACAAGGAGAGTAAGGACTTGAATGCTCGCTCTGTCTCTTGCACTGATGCCAGCACTGACACCAGCACTGACAACAGCAGCAGCACCGTCACGAGAAGCAACAGCATTCGGGGAAGGCTGAACCTATCGCTGTCACCTCTCAACGTCGACGACTCGGACCCACCAAGCGAGACCAGCCCCGCCTCTCCCGCTACCATCTCCATTCCTTCTCAACCCCTTGCCCGCCCGCCCTCGCGCATTCCCTCCCTCATTGCTCGCTCCGCCTCCTCCGACGATGCCCGCCAGCTCCGCAAGCAGCGCTCAGAACCCCGAAGCGACCTTAACAGCATCCCAGCACCGCTCTGCACCGCTCCCGACCCCTGCGGTTTAACCGCTGGCTCACAGCCTGGGGGGGGTGAGCCATCCACGCCTGGACGGCGGCTGTTGAGTGCGCTGAGCCACAGGGGAGTGGTTGGTGCTGCCAAGAAGGCCCTTGAGGCGGTCAGCTCCCCTCGCCGCTCCCACACCTCTCTCTTCGCCTCGGCATCTGCAGAATGTGCCCCGGCTCGGGAAGATGCTGCTGATGGTGCTGGTCCTGGTGGCAGTGGGAGGGGAGGAGGAGGGGGAGTAGAGCCCCTGATTGGCTCGCCGCGGTTCTTCTCCTATTCCTCACGCCCGTCAGCTCTCCGCCCCTCTGCCTCCCATGATAGCTACACGTCGTCTCCCTCCTCCCGTCTCTCCTCATCGCCGTCTCGGCGCATCGTGCCACGTTCCTCCTCTCTGGAGGTCCCAAGGTCGGCTGGAGTGCCGAGGAGTGTGTCAGAAGAGAGTGGTTTTGGCACCAATGGCAGTAGCAGGGAAAGCTGTGCCCCCTCACGCCGCCGCAGCCTGCTTGCCCCATCCTTTTCCAAGGAGGATGGGGGCAGTTACAGCAGCTTTAGGGGTGGTGGCGGAGGAGGGGATATGAGTGGATGTGTGCAGGGGGGAAAGCAGCAGCTGTCTGGGTTGCAGGCTCCGGGTGTAACGGGTAGTGTGGGTGGATGTGCAGTGGAGTGTAGAGTTGGGATGGAGGGCAGAAGGGACGATGCTGGCTCAGCCCTGACACCCAAGGGCCGGTGGGGAGCTTGGGCTGAAGACGAAAAGTCTGGAGATATGGATTGGTTTTGGTAGTCTGCCTTGGTACGACAAAGTTTTTAAATGCGCTTTTACTGTGTGCTCGACTACCAGTGTCTGAGTTGCATGAAAATCTCTATCTACCAGTGTACAAACTAAAAGTTCCTTTTCAGGTGACGAGCAACGAACCCGCCACAAGCGCATATACATTGCTGACTCGAGCGACATGTGTGACACGTGCCAAGTGGTGCTGTCGTTTCTGATGTTTCTTGTCCCCGCGCCTCGGTTTGATTACACATGATGCCCAACCCCTGCACGCGAAATTGCCTTTCGCATTCCAGAAACCTTGCACGCGTGGGTTTTTTCCCGGGCAGTTGCACCCACGTTACAAGCACGTCGACCAATACGAACCACAGAAACTGAAGAGACCGAAGTCAAACAGTCAACGGTGAGTTACAAAATTTTGTTATAAGCCCTTTTTGCCCGAAGCGAATTGACGAAACCTCCACGAAATGCAAGGATAACTTAAGAGCCCCCTTCACAAGGCAACCTTGGGTTAGTCAAACGGGCATCGTGTGTAGTCGAGGGTGAACGAATGGCATGTTTACAGTAACATACATTGTCGAGATTGACCACTTGCTTCAGGTAGATACCGGCCCAAACGACAAGGTGTACGGTTGCAAGGGCGTGTTTTCAGTGCGTCTTGTGAAATGCGACTTCTGAAACTTCTAAGGAGCCTGGGAAAAAGCCTGGGATGGTGGCAATGGTGGCGAAGCGAGAGGAGGAATGCGCTGGGAGTGCTCACGTCAGGCAGGTGAGCTCCAAACAAAAAACGGCGATTGTTTTGGGGGGCCGCAATTCTTGTCCCGCTCACCTACCTCAGCAGACAGGGTCTTTTGTTAGTGCGGGACTCCGAGAGCAGGGGACTGGAAGGGAACCTCAGGCAGCACTGTGGGGAGCAGCTCTGTAGGCATGTGCCAGTTGGCAGTGTAACCCCCTGGATTGCACGTCAATGCGGGCTGGGAGGAAACATTTCAGGCGTGCGGAAGAGACTGTAGAAAACCTTTCATTATCTAAAAGCCGAGTTGTTTGTTGTGCTTGAATGGAGGTGGAATTCACAGGAAAACAGCGAACTGGGTGTTCTCCCAGGTAGTTATAATAACTATATATTCAGCTGGGTTTCCTCACAGCTGAGTCCGAAACTGGAGATTGAACCAAATTTAGATAAAGTGCAGCACTCATGTTTGGTTTCGGTGGATAGAAAACGGTTTCCCACTCACACATGATTGGTGTTTCATATCGGAGAGCACGCGGATGTTCAATGCGCGCTTCTTGCCCACACCTACCGAAACCGCACCCCGTCAGCCCGCGCGGAACCTGGAGGTTACGGGCGGAAAGACAGCTGCCGTTGACGGTTACGTGTGGCTTGGTTTGGTGTGGCCTGAGTCGTGGGGGAGAACAGCGGGAAGATAGGGGGACCTGTTTCCCTCCCCCTCTACTTCCTACCTCCCACTCACCCCCGCTTGCCCCTCTCCCCATCCGTAAAGCTTCCGCCGCTTTCCCCCTTCCCAGCACGAGGCAGGTGCACAAAACCCACCCCATGGCTCTCGGCCTGGATTGATTTTTCTCACCCACCCACCTATGTACGCTCAAGCCCCGCCAGCTCTCGTCAACTTCACTTCTGCTCAATCTACCGTCCTCGTAATAATTTTGCTCTAGCGCTATCTTCCTTGTGTTCTGAGCGAAGACGGGCGTGAAGTACGCATCTGAGATCCAGAGGAGAGTATATCTTTTAGTCGATTCTACGTCCGTGTTACTGGCAGCCGCCACGCGTTCCTTGATTTGCCCGGCATGGGGATTCGACAATGTTGGCCGTCACTATTAGCAGCTCTCGTAGTCGTAGTCACAATTACGACAGTCTCCGCACAATCGCAACCACCGCCCACTCTACCACCAGGGGATCCAGCAAATGAAATCATCCCGATTCCAGGATTCTCCACTCCCGACTCCGTCGCCATGGCCGAAAGTACGAACATTGCCTCTCGCATTGTCGTTTCACCACACCAATAAAATTCCCTCTCTGCCGCTTGTTCCTTTTTCGTGCGCCTGTCTCCGCATTTCCATACGACCACAACCAGTTTCATTGCGGTTCCGCAAAACTAACAGCCTCTTCTCTTCTAACCGTCATCTATCCATGGCCGTGGCTTGCGCAGAGGCGGCACTGCTGGCATTTGCGAAGGCGTTCGACAACCACCCGGTGTTCTTCAAGTGGGGGTCGTGGGCGAACGTGTCGCTGGGCATGCAGTACAACACGTCCAAGCCCTGCGTGCAGTTCTGGAAGTGGATCACCTGCGACGCCGAGGGCCGCGTTAACGCCATGTAAGTCGCTCTATGGACTTGCCTTTCCCCGCTCCCCCATTCCCCCTCTCCCCACCCCCCGCCCCCGCCCCCTCAGCTTTCCCCTTTCCTCTTTTCCTTCCACGTTTTCCCCCCTCCCCCTTCATCTTACAACGTTACTCAACTTCGTACCTCCCTTCTCTCCGTTCTCCCCTCTCCGCGCACCGTGTTACCCCTCTCTCTCTCCGCGCGCGCAGCGACATCGGCAACCCCATGATGGTGGACAAGGACCCGTCGTACGGCAAGGGGATGTCGCCCGGCGCGCTAAAGGGGCAGATTCCGTGGGCCAAGATGACGGCGCTCGAGAACCTCGTGCTCATTAATCTCCAGGGCAACGACGTCTACGGGCCCGTGCTGCCGCCCATTATTTCCAAGTTCTCCAAGCTCAAGGAAATGTGAGCCGCGTCGCGTCTGCATTCAGTCCGTGTGCTGCCGTCGCGTCGCGTCTCGTCGTCGGCGTCGTTGCTAACTTTTCGTTCATCGAGTCCCAATTCGTCTGCCCATCTTTCTCTTATCTAACCTGCCCGTCTGTTTTTCCCTCCGCGTGGTGCGCATGCGGTGCGGTGCGGTGCGGTGCGAGCAGCATGTTCGAGGGCAACCGGTTCGTGGGGCCCATGCCCGAGGAGGTCTCGGCGCTCAAGGACCTGCAGAAAATGTACGCTCGCCGCCGCGCTCCGCTCCCGCCGCTGCCGCCGCGCTCCGCTCCCGTCTATTCCCCAACATGCTCGAACATTTTCGGTCATTTTCGCGCAATTTCAAATATTCCTGTTGTCGTTCCGTGCGCTGCCACCGTCATTTCGGCCGCCACCGTCGATTCACGGGACTTTTGTTGATGTTGATCGCCATCGTCGATTGTGATGGATCGTGTGGTCTCTGACGACCTGCCATGCACAATCCCCGCCGTAACCCCGCCTTTCTCCGTCGTTTTCCCCGGTTTCCCCCCCGCGCCCCGCTCGCCCCTCCCCGCTTCCCAATCCCCCTCGCAGGGACGTGAGTCTGAACCGCATCACGGGGTCAATCCCACGTGGCATCGCCACGCTGGCCAATCTGACGTGGCTCGCGCTCTCGCAAAACCAGATGGCCGACGTGCTGCCGCCCGAATTCGGCAACTTGACTCAACTTAAAAAACTGTACGCACTCGCGACTCGACCTTTCGCCCTCTCGTCAATTTCCAGGTCGCTGTTGAGCAATTTCACTTCAATCCGCTCTGTCTCTCGTGTGGTCTTTAACTGGGAAAGTATCGTGTATGCTTACTTCGGTATCTGCTCTTCATACCGCCACGTGTCTCGTTACTTGGCTAAGCGTTTTGCTGGTGGCTCATACCGGGGGCTTTGTGTGGTACGCTCGCGTCGCAGGGACATTGGCGGGAACTCGTTCCAAGGCGCGCTGCCGGAAAGCTGGGGCAAACTGCAGAAGCTAGAGCTGCTGTGAGTGCTTATCAACTTATCAACCTTACCACGCCTGCTTATCACTCTCCTCCTGTGTGCTGCTTTGACCGTCGCCTTTTCCCTCTCACGCCGCATTTCCAAATCCCCCTCCCTCCACCTTCCTGGTACCGGCCGTGTCGGCCAAGGGCTCATCGCTTGCCCATGTCCATTTTTTCCTGCTGCTCGCGGTCCTAACTCTCTCCCGGTTCCCCCTTCCCCCGCTTCTCCCCTTCCCTCCTTCCCCCCTCCGCCCGCCCTTTCTCGGCGCGGCAGCAATCTGCAGAAGCTGAACCTCAACGGGTCGTTCCCCGACTCGTGGGCGGGCATGACGTCGCTGCAGCACTTCGTCGCGCCCGCCGCTCCTCACCATCCTAACTCTCTCCCGGTTCCCTCTCCCCCCCTTTCTCGCCTCTGCAGCAATCTGCAGAAGCTGAATCTGAACGGCTCCTTCCCCGACTCGTGGGCGGGCATGACGTCGCTGCAGCACTTCGTCGCGCCCGCCGCTCCTCACCATCCTAACTCTCTCCCGGTTCCCTCTCCCCCCCTTTCTCGCCTCTGCAGCAATCTGCAGAAGCTGAATCTGAACGGCTCCTTCCCCGACTCGTGGGCGGGCATGACGTCGCTGCAGCACTTCGTCGCGCCCGCCGCTCCTCACCATCCTAACTCTCTCCCGGTTCCCTCTCCCCCCCTTTCTCGCCTCTGCAGCAATCTGCAGAAGCTGAATCTGAACGGCTCCTTCCCCGACTCGTGGGCGGGCATGACGTCGCTGCAGCACTTCGTCGCGCCCGCTGCGCGCATCCAGAGCCGCTTCCCCTCCTTCCTGCTCAAGCTAAAAAACATCTCCGACATGTGAGTCCGCTCCTCACCCGGTGGCATCAACACGGCCCCCTCCTCTCCCCCCCCCCCCCGTCGTTCCTGCTCAAGCTAAAAAACATTCCGACATGTGAGTCGATTCTTCACCCGCTGCACCAACACGCTTCCCCCCTCCGCGTTTCTGATCGAGTCTCAACCTCCCCTTGCCTCGCATTCACCTGCTGCTGCTCGTCCCCTCTTGCTGCTACGCTCGCTTCCTCGCTCGTCTCATCTTCCCCCCCCACTCCCCCCTTTTGCTTCTCCCCCTGTCCTTCCCCCCGCTGTCCCCTCTCTGCTTCCGCGCAGTGTGCTATACAACAACGAGCTCTGGGGACCACTGCCGCCCGCCAAAGAGCTCTTTGCGCCCCGCACGCTCACCGCACTGTGAGTCTCCCACCCGCCCAACCTCGCCCACGCTCGCCCACCCCCACCCTTCTCTGCCCTTCTCCGCCCGCATCAGCCTTTTTCCGCCTCTCTGCTTCCCACCCTACTACACCCCTCCCACATCCCACCATCCCGCCTGCCGTTTGTCGATTCATGCCCTGCTGCACGGTTAACTCTCGTGCTGCTGCGCCCTCACCTGTCCCACGTGCCACTATCCGCATCTGCTCCTTCTTCCGCTTCCCTCCCTCACTCCCGTCTCATTTCTCCGCCCACTCTCCCCTGTCACCATCCCCCTGTCTCCTCGGTGCAGCGACGTGAGTTCCAACTTCCTCAACGGCACGGTACCCGCAGTGCCTGCTGGCCGCAACATCGACTTCAAGTCAGTCCCCTGCCGCCCCCTGCCGCCCTTGCTGCCATTTCCTGCCCCCTTGCCATCGCCTGCCCTTGCTTTACCGCCCTTTCCGATGACTCAATTTTCCAAAGGCCTCCCAGCGGCCATCGCCTGCTCTACTCCCCTCCCTTCTACTCCCCATCTCATCCTTTCCCCAACCCTGCTCTCCCCCTCTCCCCCCCCCCTCCCTCCCTGCCCCCCAACCCTCCCTATGTCCATGCAGGTATTTCACCAACTGTCTCAACACGTCAGCCAACCCGGCACTGGCGGATCAGACGCCACAGGACCCCGCCGAGTGCACCAAGTTCTACAACACCCTCAAATTCGGTACGCACCCCCCCCCCCCGCCCTCCCTCCTCCGCGCTTGCTTTTGTCCACCGCCAGTTGTGCACCGATGGCTCCTCTTCTCGCACCGCTCCCCTTCACTCCTCATCCCCCACTCTCTTCCACCTCTTTTGCTCCCTCTTCCCCCCCCCCCCCCCCCCCCCCCCCCCCCCCCCCCTTCTCCCCTCTCCAGCTTCCGAGCTCTCGAGTGCGAGCTACAACGGCACAGAGACAGTGCAGACAACGGAGTACGTGCCGGCATCCAAGACGCCCATGATCATCGGCATCACCGTGTCGCTGGCCATCGCCATCGCTGCTGTGGGCGGGGCCATCTGGTTCCTCTACTACACCAAGCGCGGCCAGAGCATCTCCAAGATGTTCACCAAGGGGCTCCGCCGTGAGTGATAGCACTGTTTCCTCTGCCACACGTTCTCCGCACTCTCTTCCCTGTCCCTCCTCCTCTCCCCTGTCTCCTCCCTCCTCCCTCCTCCACTCGCCCACCTGCTCTTGTTCCTCCTTCGGCCTTGTCCCTCAGGACCCCATCCTCACATTCTCTGTTCCTACTCCCCCCCTGCCCATCCTCTCAGAGGCGACGTGCGAGTTCACGCTGAAGCAGATGAAGGCGGCGACCAACAACTGGCAGACGGTGACCCCATGTGTTGTTTCCCCCTGGCCCTGCCCTCACACCCACCCTTCCTGCCTCACTCTCCTTCCCCCCTGCCCATCCTCTCAGAGGCGACGCGCGAGTTCACGCTGAAGCAGATGAAGGCGGCGACCAACAACTGGCAGACAGTCATCGGCAAGGGAGGCTACGGCACCGTGTACAAGGCCACGCTCAAGGACGGCCAGCTCGTGGCCGTGAAACGCCTCGACCAGGTGTCCAAGCAGGGCGACGTGGAGTTCATCCGGGAAGTGGAGCTGCTGTCGCGCGTGCACCACCGGCACCTCGTGAACCTCGTGGGGTTCTGCGCCGAGAAGGGCGAGCGCGCGCTGATTTACGAGTACATGGCGATGGGATCGCTGTATGAGCACCTGCATGGGGAGAGTGCGAAAGAGTACCCGCTGTCGTGGGATAGCAGGACCAAGATTGCAATTCACGTGGCGCTTGGGATTGAGTACCTGCACTATGGTGCCGACCCTCCTCTCATTCATCGGTACGTTCTCCGTTCCCCACCTGCTGTCTTTCTGTCTCACTGCTTCTTGCATTGGGCCTACTTCCTGTGCTCTGTGCCTTAGGCTGCTCTCATCCCACATTGCTCCATCCTCTGCTGCTCATGCCTCTCCTGCCCTCCTTTCGCCCTCTCCCCTCTTTAACAGTGATATCAAGTCGGCCAACATCCTTCTGTCGGACGACGGCTACTCCAAGGTGGCTGACTTCGGTCTGTGCAAGGAGGCGCCCATCGGCGCGGGTGCGGACGGCGGGGAGCAGCTGGTGCCCACGGCCACAGCAGTGCGGGGGTCATTCGGGTACCTGGACCCCGAGTACGTCAACACCAGTATCCTGTCGGAGAAGTCGGACGTGTACAGCTATGGCGTCGTGCTGCTCGAGCTCATCTCGGGTCACAAGTCCATCCACGAGTGGCAGCCCCTTGCTTACTGGGTGAGTGATCAGTGTGTGACCTGCTGGGTGAGCTTTTGCAGCCTGCTGGCCGCATGCACATCGTAAATCATTCTTGTAAATTCTTGTGACCTGCTTTTATTCCCTTGCTAATGCGATCCTTGTGTGCGTCCCCCTGTGTGTGGGTGTGTTGTCACGTGCTGTGGTACAGGCGGAGGAGTACCTAGCTGACAGGGAGAAGACGCCTCTCATGGTGGACCCCAAGCTGGAGGGCAACTTTGACCTGGACGAGCTCTACGCGCTCTGTGACATCGCACGCACGTGCGTGCAGGACCAGGCCGTCAACCGCCCCACCATCCGCGACGTCGCCAAGGCCCTCGTGGAGAACCTCGGCCACGCCACCTCCAGCTATGCCGGCAGCCACCGGGATTCCGCGTCTATCATGTCGTCGTCGCAGTCGGACGCCACGTCACTGCCGTCCTCGTCGTACCCGTCCACGACTGAGTCGTCGGAGTTTAGCTATCAGAATTACTCGGAGACGCTGCACTGGGCGCCCGGGGATGACAACTCGACTGCGCAGTCGAGCAAGTCGGGGGCGGTGGCGCTGTCTAAGGGCGCCAAGGGCGACCACTTGCCCGTGCCCGTGCCGCGCCGCCCGGATTTCCCCCCGGATGAGGCGTAATGGGAGGAGGAGGGCTGCGATGAGGCTGAGGTGTGATGGTGTGTGGGGATGGAGGGGTTGTGGCAGAGGAGGAAGGGGGCTTTGGAAAGAGGGTTGTGTGAGATGGAGTTTATGGCCAAGAAGCACTCGAGTGTGCTTGTGCCTGCTGCCTGAGATATGTTCTGATTGCCGTACAGCTTGCATATTTTCTGTTTGCTGCTCTGTTACCACCTTGTAATTTATCAGTTAGGTATTGATGTGAACACCCGTTTTAGGTGTGCTGTTATGAACCTTGTTCCCAGAGCGTGGGCATTGGTGTACACTCGTATTTTAGAGCATGTTCTACCTCCTAAGCTCAATTCTATCTGGCCTGTACATCTGCGATATCCGATTGTAGTGAGGTTTATAGCGGGGAAAAATTCTGTTTGAAATCACCGAGGCAGTCGCAAATGCAGTTGAGAAATTTTGCTGACCCGTCCAATACCCAGCGGGCAGGCAAAGGCTCGCTGGCGGGTGACAAGATTCGGAGCCACCAGCAAGACCGAAGCGGTGTGGTTGGTGCGGGAAGTCTGCTTAACGCTGGGACCAGCCAATCAACTGGCCCCAACTAATTCCAGACCAGAGTCTGGACCAGGCAGCGCATCCATATGATGCCCGGCCCTCGCACGTTTCCCAGGCTGTCCTGCACCAGCACCAGCCGGGTAAACCCTTTGAGTCCCCGAACCTTTTCCATACCAATCAAACTCGCCGGCCTTTCCAAAACCAGCCAATGAAGAGCCTTTAGTCTGACCGCCCTGACTTCGGGGAGTAAAGTGACTGATCCGAACCAACCAGCGCTCTGGGTTGAGTGCGCTGTCGACTCCGCAACCTCCCCCGCTACCGTGCGGGACGCCCGTGTGAAGGTAGGTGCGCGCGCGCATGATGGGTGGCTCAAAGCGTAGCGCACACACAAGCCGAGAGTTTCCGCCAGCGTGGAAACGCTGCGCGTCAAGCAACTGCTGGCATGGCAAGTCATCAAATGTCATCATTGATGGGAGATACAGTTTACCCCACCGCCATATCGTCTCGGCACTGAAGGTTGTTGAGAAGTCAGCTGGAAAGTGATTCGAACGTCCACGGCTCTGAAGAATCGAGTTATGTCGCGGTTCGATCGATTAGGACGAGACCCGCAGCGCAGAGCTAAGCGAACTCTGGTTCCGACATAGAAACAACCGACCGTTTTATTTATCGACCTGTCATAAGAATCGTTTTGTAGACGCTATGAGCTGAAAAGCATCGGTTATTTTCAAGGCAATCGCAAGGTCATCGTTCACGCGGTTCACGTGGTTTTTGGGGATTATCAGTAACCGCACGCATGGGTGCGTGCCTGGGCAAGCCATTAGCGGACGGAGATCATCAAGGGGGGCGGGGTAAACATAAGGGCCGACACAAAAATGCCGCACAGCCGGAAGAGCCGGAGGAGTTGGTTTTCGCAAATGAGAAACCGCCGGAGAAAGGCGCCGCGGAGGCGCAATCGCAACAACGGAACGGCGAAATTACCGAAGGATCGAGCGCGGGAGTGGGGGGTGCAACCGGGGGAGGAAATGGCGGGGGGAGCGCGTACGGGCCGGGCGGTGGGGGAAGGGCTGGCCTGAGCCCGTTCGAGGATCCGCGGAACAAGGTGTTCGAGTCGCCCGCAATGTCGGTAATGGGCACTCCCGCCATCCACCTGTCCAACTTCTCCCCCGCGCCCGCCACCTTCGACGGGCTCGCGGGGAGCATTCTGCAGCAGGCGGCGGAAAAGGCGCGCGTGAGCCGGCTGCGCGACGACGAGCGCGGAAAACAGATGGGCGCGGCGGAGGGCTCCTCGGGGGGCGGCAACCAGATCCCCGTGGGCGTGGTTGTCGGCGGAGGGGGCGGCGGAGGGTTCGGCGCAGGGAGCGCGGGGGCGGGGAGCAGCGGAGGGTCGGGGGAGGGGCATGAGGGGAAGGAGCTGAATAAGAAGTTCGGGTATGCGCGGAACATTAACGCTAAGTACGAGTTGGAGCACGAGGTGGGGCGCGGGCACTTCGGGCACACATGCGCGGCGACGGGGAAGAAGGGGGAAGTGAAGGGCGTGCAGTGCGCCATCAAAGTCATTCCCAAGGCCAATGTGAGCCGCACACATGGGTACATTGGAAGATTACCCTGAAAAACCGGGTGTATGCTTCTGAGTCACGTTCTAGGGTTTTGTGGACGTGCCACTGCAGTGCAATTTTGGGCTCCTCCTTGCTGTCCACCCCGTCACCCTTCTCCCCTTCCCTCTCCCCCCTTCCCTTCATTACTTCCTCACCCCTATCCATCGGTCCATTCCTCCTTCCCCCCATTCGGCCTCCCTTACGTCCTATCTTTTCCTCCTTCCTCCCCCTTCCTCCCGTCGCTCAATTGACGAGAGTGGTAGCGGTGGAGGATGGGAGGCGCGAGGTGGGCTAACAGAACCCCTCCCTCCCCACTCACCCACTGTCCCGCTTTCTCCCCTCCCTCCCCACTCACCCACTGTCCCGCTTTCTCCCCTCCCTCCCCACTCACCCACTGTCCCGCTTTCTCCCCTCCCTCCCCACTCACCCACTGTCCCGCTTTCTCCCCTCCCTCCCCACTCACCCACTGTCCCGCTTTCTCCCCTCCCTCCCCACCCCCCCAGATGACAACAGTGATAGCGGTGGAGGACGTGAAGAGGGAGGTGCGGCTGATGCGCGCGCTGGGCCCACAGGAGTTCGCCGTGCGCTTCTATGATGCCTATGAGGACCAACTCAACGTGTACATAGCCATGGAGTGAGTGCTTCTGTAACGAGTATAACCATACATAGCTAGCTACGTAACTCATCATCACTGTCACAGGCCCAACCTACTTCCCTCCTCTCCCTCCTGCTGCTCCTCACGTCCTCCCATCCCTTGCACTACTTACAATTCTCCCCTGCTGTCTTCCCCTTCCCCTTTGCCCATCTCCCCCCCGCCTGCCACCATGATCCCATCAGGTTGTGTGAGGGCGGCGAGCTGCTTGAGAGGCTGCTGCAACGGTAATGCCTCTTTGCCCAGCCCTTTCCCTCGCTTTCCTTAACCTGCCTTCCTCTCTCTCCATGTCTCTCCGTGCCCCATTCCTGTTCGACCCATTGCGTTCCTCTCTCTGTGCTATTCCCCTCCCCTCCATTACTTACCCCTCCATTCCTCACCCCTCCATCCCTCAACCCTCCTTGCCATCATTTCCCCGTTCCCCCGTTCCCCCCAGGGGAGGCAAGTACGGTGAGCACGAGGCGAGGGAGGTGATGCGGCAGATCCTCAACATCATTGCGTTTCTGCACCAGCAGGGCGCCCATCGTGCACCGCGACTTAAAGCCCGAGGTCCGTACACTGCTTAAAGAGCCTTTGGGAGCCGGAGGTCCGTACACTAGTGAAAACAGCCTTTGGGAAATCAGACTAGAGTGAGAATGGTGCTGGTCAAGTGGTGGCCAACTGATGATGGCCCTTCTTTGCCACTTCAACTCCTGACGACGTTCCCCCACCTCCACTGTAAGGAAAAACCCTTTTCCATACTGGGGATTACTCAACCGTGTACAACCTCACCTTTCGAAAGTGCACCGCGACTTAAAGCCCGAGGTCCGTCACCCACTTACAACCCGAGAATTGTTAACAGCTCAAAGCCACTAGTGAAAATATCTTCTAAGAAAGCAGACTAAAATATGAGTGGTGAGGTGATGGTTTAGTGGTGGGCAAGTGATGACGCTCCTTCTCTTTTTTATTGTAATTGCCCCCTCTTTGCCAGTCCAACTCCTAACGCATTTTCCCCACCTCTACCAACCTCCATCCCTCCCCCTCGACCCTCCCTCAATCCCTCGCCTTACCACCCACCACTCACCATCCCTCCACTCCACTCCACCCACCACCCGCGGCCAGAACTACCTGTTCAATCGCGCGAGGGGGGCTTGGCGCTGCGCTCCCAGCCTTCCATTCTTGATGTTCCCGTGCTGTGCTGCTCCCCTCTCCCCCATCCACCCATTCACCCATTCACCCAACCCACCATCAGAACTTTCTCTTCAAGTCGCGGGACGAGGGCTCGGCACTACGAGCCATCGACTTCGGTCTCTCCGACTTCGTCCGGCCGGACCAGAAGCTCAACGACATCGTAGGCTCGGCGTACTACATCGCCCCGGAGGTGCTCCACCGAGCCTACGGCACCGAAGCTGACGTCTGGTCCGTGGGAGTCATCGCCTACATCCTCCTGTCCGGGTCCCGGCCCTTCTGGGCGCGCACGGAGTCGGGTATTTTCCGCGCCGTGCTGCGGCTGGAGCCGAACCTGATAGACGCGCCGTGGCCGGCGGTGTCGCATGCTGGGCGGGACTTTGTGCACCGCCTGCTCACTAAGGACTACCGCCGGCGCCCCACTGCCGCCCAGGCGCTCAGTGAGTGGCAGAGGAGACGGGGCCACCCCCCTCACCACCCCTCGCTCCCCCCTCATTCCTTCCACCCTGTCCGCACTCTGTATCAGCAGCACAGCAGCCTTGACCCACACATCCCACTCCCCCACTTCCCCTCCCCCCCTTCGTTCCCCCCTTCTCCCTCCCTTTCCCCCTCAAACCCCCTTTCCCCCGTCCTCCCCCCTGTGCCCTGTCTGCAGCGCACCCGTGGATCCGCAGCAGCAGCGCGCGCATCCCTCTAGACATCGCCGTGTACAAGAGCCTGCGTGCATTCTTCCCCATCAACCGCCCCCACCCCCTCCTCCCCTCTTCCCCCCTTTGCCCTGTTCACAGCGCACCCGTGGATCCGCAGCAGCAGTGCGCGAATCCCATTGGACATCGCGGTGTACAAGAGCCTGCGCGCCTTCTTCTCCTTCTCTCCGCTGCGCCGCGCCGGGCTCAAGGTGAGCACACAAGGACTTGGCTCGAGGTGAGGACAGAAGGACTGGGCTCAAGGTGAGGACAGAAGGACTGGGCTCAAGGTGAGGACAGAAGGACTTGGCTCGAGGTGAGGACAGAAGGACTTGGCTCGAGGTGAGGACAGAAGGACTGGGCTCAAGGTGAGCACAGAAGGACTTGGCTCAAGGTGAGCACAGAAGGACTGGGCTCGAGGTGAGCACAGAAGGACTTGGCTGGAGGTGAGGACAGAAGGACTGGGCTCAAGGTGAGCACAGAAGGACTTGGCTCGAGGTGAGGACAGAAGGACTTGGCTCAAGGTGAGGACAGAAGGACTGGGCTCAAGGTGAGCACAGAAGGACTTGGCTCAAGGTGAGCACAGAAGGACTTGGCTCGAGGTGAGGACAGAAGGACTTGGCTCAAGGTGAGGACAGAAGGACTGGGCTCAAGGTGAGCACAGAAGGACTTGGCTCGAGGTGAGGACAGAAGGACTGGGCTCAAGGTGAGCACAGAAGGACTTGGCTCGAGGTGAGGACAGAAGGACTTGGCTCAAGGTGAGGACAGAAGGACTGGGCTCAAGGTGAGCACAGAAGGACTTGGCTCAAGGTGAGCACAGAAGGACTTGGCTCGAGGTGAGGACAGAAGGACTTGGCTCAAGGTGAGGACAGAAGGACTGGGCTCAAGGTGAGCACAGAAGGACTTGGCTCGAGGTGAGGACAGAAGGACTGGGCTCAAGGTGAGCACAGAAGGACTTGGCTCGAGGTGAGGACAGAAGGACTTGGCTCGAGGTGAGGACAGAAGGACTGGGCTCAAGGTGAGGACAGAAGGACTTGGCTCAAGGTGAGGACAGAAGGACTTGGCTCGAGGTGAGGACAGAAGGACTTGGCTCGAGGTGAGGACAGAAGGACTGGGCTCAAGGTGAGGACAGAAGGACTGGGCTCAAGGTGAGGACAGAAGGACTGGGCTCAAGGTGAGGACAGAAGGACTTGGCTCAAGGTGAGGACAGAAGGACTTGGCTCGAGGTGAGGACAGAAGGACTTGGCTCGAGGGCAGTGATGGGGCAGGCGGGGTCAAGGGGGAATGGAGGAGAAGGGGAGAGGTGCTGCACCCATGCAGTGCACATCCTTCCGCTATCCCGGCGCACACCTTTTCTCAATTGGTGGGGCGCATGTTGGATACATAGACGTGAACGTAGGCGATTTCTGAAGTCGTACAAGGGGCCCTCTCCTCCCTCTCCTACATCCCTCGCCTCCCTTGCCCTCGCACGCGTTGGTGCCAACGCTGACGGAGGACGGGTTGGTGTATCTGAGAGCACAGTTTGGGTGCATGGACGGGGATGACGACGAGTCCGGTAGTGTGGTGGCCAAAACGCCTTCTCCTCCTGCCACACCCTCCCCTCCCCTCCCTTCCCCTCTGCTTTCACCAGGCGCTGGTGCCGACACTAACGGAGGACGAGTTGGTGTATCTGAGGGCGCAGTTGGGGTACATGGACGTGGACGGGGAAGGGCATGGGCAGTGAGGCATCTCAAGGGCCCACTCCTCTCCTTTCCATCCCTCACTCCACTCCCATCCCTTCCCCTCCCCTTCCGTTCCCCTCCCTCCCACCAGGCGTTGGTGCCAACGTTGACGGAGGACGAGTTGGTGTATCTGAGGGCGCAGTTTGGGTATTTTGACGTGGACGGGGACGGGCTCATTGACTTCAACGACCTAAAAAACGTGAGCATTGACTTGCGTTGACTTGATAGGATATTGACTCCGTTGACTCTCTGTCTGTCTTTAATGTCCCGACCCCATCTCCCCTCATGTGGCCTCCGTGTGGCTGGCGAACAATGCATCGAGTCCCCAGAGTTGAGCCATCACTCACCTCCCCCGCTCCCCCTTCCCTCTCTGTCCCCCACGGTGCCGGCCCTGTCTTCAATGATCAGGCGATGCAGCGCGTGGCGACAGACGCCATGAGAGAGTCACACACTATCGACCTGCTCAAGACGGTGAGAGGGTGGGGGGAAGGTTAGGGAGTGAGGCGGGTGGTAGGGCACTAAGGGGTGTTACGGAGGTAGGCAGGTACGGAGTGAAGGGGTTGGTTGGCAGGGAGGAAGGGTGGGTGGCAAGGCAAGCAGCGGGGCGGCCTTTTAACTGACGCAAGGGCCACAGATGTTATGAGCAAGTAGCGCACCATTGACCTGCCCAAGACTGAGTGGCACGACAGGCTCAACGACTTGGCTGAATGGATCAGCTTTCCCTCCGCCTCTTCCGTTTCAACCTCTTCCCTCCTTCCCCCTCCTCTCCCTATTCTCGCTCTTGCCACACCAGCTGGAGCCAGCGCGCATATCGCGAATGCCCTTCACGGACTTTTGTGCGGCAGCGCTGAACGTGTTTCAGCTGGAGGCGCTGCCCAACTGGCCTGAGCGGGCACGCGTGGCGTACCAGACGTTCGTGCGAGGGGGCAAGGCGCACGTCACCATTGATGAGCTCGTCAAGGTGCGTCTGATCTTAAGTCACTTGTAAAGTCAACTCTACAGTCAACTCTGAAGCCCCCGTGCGTGGCGTACCAGACGTTCGTGCGAGGAGGCAAGGCGCATGTCACCGTCAAGGTGAGGCGCCTGGCTTACCATGGTGCTTTTGCCCCTCTTGTGAGTCGTCTCTCAAGTCGCTGCTTTTGGCATACCTGACGTACGCTTTGCTCCATATCTGCCCCCCTCGTTGCTTCTCCCACCCCCCCCAGGAGTTGGGGCAGGTGGGGTCGATGGAAAACGCAGCCCTGTTAGACGAGTGGACCAACTTTGACGTCACTGTCAGCTTCCTGGGCTTCACAATCAAGACACCCTCTCCTCCTCCCTTCTCTGCTGTTCGCCCTCCGCTGCCCCTTCTCTCCTCCCCCTCGCTGCTCTTCCACCCACCACAGGAGTTGGGGCAGGTGGAGTCGATGGCCAACGCGGCTCTGTTAGACGAGTGGACCAACTTCGATGGCACGGTGAGCTTCCTGGGCTTCACGCGTCTGGTGCACGGCCCCTCGCGCGCGCGCAAGCAGCGCCACGTGCGCGCCAAGCCCAAGCCCTCCGTCTCGCCCACGTCTTCCGGGAGAGTGAAGCACCCCCAGGGAGGCTCCGAGATGAAACCCATTCCCGAGGATGGGGGGGAGGGGCGGGCGCAGGGCAGTGGGGTGTCGGGGCAGGTGCAGGCGGGAGTGCAGCAGCAGCAGCAACAACAACAAGAGCAGGTGCAGGCAGATATACATTCTTTCAAACCGTACCAGCAGCAGCAGGCGGTGCCACCACAGGCAAGTGGGGAGGCGGGGGGTTTGGATGCGACAGCAGCAGTGGCCGGGCTGGGAATCCCCATGTTCCAGTCCTACTCGCAGCAACAGCAGCAGCAGCAGCAGCAGCAGCACCAACAGCACATGGGGGCATTGGGGGAAGGGGGAAGGTCGGGGGGAAGTGCTTCTGGGGGAAACAGATTAGGGGCCAGCCGACTTGGGGGGAGCGGGTCAAGGGGAGATGCGATGAGTGGGGGGACGGGAGGGAGTGTGAGTGAAGGGATGGATGCACAGAGAGCAGTGGGGGAGTACGGAGGGGGGGATGTGGGGAGTAGCCATGGGGAGGATGAGGCGGCGGCAGTGCAGCAAGCGAAGGGTGTGGGATCGAGTCCTGGCGGTGTCATATCGGCAGAAGAAGCAGTGGCGGCGGGAGGGCTGTGAGGGGGGAGTGGAGGAGGGTTGTGAGAAACACTTTGTGGAGATTGGATGGAGCTGTGAGCATGCACCACGTGCATGCAGTATGTGCATCAATTCTGGAACGCCAACCGGAGACAGTAAGTTAAGGTGCAAGTGCTGCCGCGGCAGCCAGCAAAGCAGCAACCAGGCAGGCAGGCAGGCAGGCAGGCAGGCAGGCGGGCAGGCAGGCGGGCGGGCAGGCAGGCAGGCGGGCGGGCGGGCAGGCGGGCGGGCAAGCAAGCAAGGAAGATTGGGAGGGCACTCTTCTCTACAGACAGAGCACGCTAGGCCCCAGGGTCACTACCAAGTGGGGGCTTGAGCCTCGTGGCAAGTGCATGCATGAACTAGATCGAGAGGTGATCTTACTGTAGCTGGCTAGATGCGTTGGCATATAGCTTCTGATTTGAGTTATGAGGCTGAAAACAAACACTGCGCATAGAATGTGTGGTGCAGCTTCCTCAGCTTATTCGTGCAGTTTCCTAACCAGTAGTGCAGCAGGCCGTGTGCCATGTGAAGGGGCCATCAATTGTGTGAGACGCTATTCACACAGATACAATGCCACTAGTAGACTGAAAAGGTGGTACGTGCACATGGGAGCCACAGCCATCAAAATCACCTGCTTCCCGCGACCCTGTTTCATGGTACAAGGGATGGATACCAGTGTCTAAGGGTCACTTTAACAACTTGAGCAGTTAGGAATGTTAAGACTTCTGTTACCCTACTTATGGGGAGCACGCTGGGCAGAGTGGCCCTTACGGAGCACGGAACAGTAACCATGGTGCCATGAAGGGACAAGGAGCAGGCAGGCTGAAGCCTCACTGCAGCTGCAGCACAAAGCCTCATAGGCTGGAGTGGTCTGGGTGAAACGAACTTGGTTGTGCGCAGGGCAAGTTGCATGACATGGTGAGCTACACTACATGCCACGTAGGCTGCGTGTAACACGTAAGCTATGTGTGTCAGTCGGATGTGTGGCACGTGGGCTATGTGCGCACCCATGTGTTGCGGTAGGAGGAATGGTCCTTGAGTGAGGCGTCATGCGGCTTGTACTCCTGGTGTGGCGTCACAGGCACAGAGGGGGTGGGGAGTGCAGGGAGGAGGTGAGGGCAGGAGGGAGGAGACGGCAGATAGAGACAAGTAGAGCGAGGGAGTGGTGGATGGCATGAGGGAGTGGTGGATGGCATGAGGGAGTGGTGGATGGCATGAAGGCGAAAGGCATGACTCACCATGGTGTAGGAAGGTGGAAGGCCGAGGTGCTTCCGAATCGACTCACACAGCCTGTCCCGTGCCTGTTGCACGCTCCATGCCACGCCATGCCATGCCATGCCATAAATGCGGGGAAGAATCAACACACCCAATAAAAAAATTAACAAAGACATTGCATGAAGGCACACGCAAGACATATCAACCAAGTGAGGACTCCCATGAGATGTGACTATCCTGCAAGCCCCTCCCCCCGCTGTGCTGCACCCACAATGCCGCGCGGCAGCAGTTTGATTCAACGGGAAGTGCTACACCCACCAGGCTGTGCGGTGCAGAGCGGTTCCAGATGGAGAGAATGTCGTCGCCAAAGCGCACACTGAGCACCACTCCGCACACCTCCTCCGCGCCCTCCAGCTGCTCCCCCACCACCGCCATCAACTGCAAGGGGGGGGGGGGTTGGGGCAGATGAGAGGGGGGATTGAAGGGAAGATTGAAGGGAAGAGGACAAGGACACAGGTTGGCACACCCACCCCACCCAGCGCACCTCTTCCGCTCCCGCCAACTGCTACCCCGCCACCGCCATCAAGTGCGGGGTTGGAGTGGGGGGTAAGCAAGGAGGACGAAGGCACGGGTTACACCAGCTGCTCCTGCTCTGCACCCCAACCCCTCTGCCTCTCACCCCCCATCCGTGCTCACAGGCTGCCCCACTTCTGCCACTCATCACAAGCTGCCCCCTCTCTCCTCTCACGCTCACCAGCTCCCCCCCCCCCACTGCTACCACTCACGAGCTGCTCCCACATGCGGTTGGTGAGCGGCTTGCGCAGGCGCACCATCCACTTGCCCCCCCGCCGGTTGTGCACGTCCTGCCACGGGGGGAAGGGGGTTTGAGCGGAGGGGACGATGGATGGGGGAAAGAGGAAGGGGGAAGGGGGGGCACAGAGCGCGAATATGGGGGAAAAGCAACAGATTTCTGGGCTTGGGGGAGAGGGGGAGGGTAATATGAGCAATGAAGGGAGAGAGACGCGCAGAGTGGGCTGGCGCATTTGGGCAAGAAAAAGGGAAGAGGCTGGGAGCGGAAGAGTGCAGGAGGGGGAGAGTAGGAGAGGGGGGGAGCGGTGGGTGGGGGCGCAGCGCACAGACCTCCCAGAGCGGGCGGATGCCGTCTTTGAAGACGTGCACGTCCGTGGGGGCGGGCAGCGCAGATGGGCGCACCATGCGGCAGTAGCACGCCCAAAACCCCTCCACCTGTGGTGGGTGGGACACAAGAGGTACGTGGTTAGGCCAAGGCAGTTGCAGAGGCGAGAGGGACGAGTCCCATGGGAGAGTTGCACAGCGAACCTGCCACCCACCAGGCGCCTGTCCCTTATCCTTACCTCCCTCACCCCTATCCCTCCCTTCCCTCCATCCCCTCCCCCTCCCCCCCCTCTCCCCTCTCTTCCCCATGCACGACAGTTGACAGCGATGCACGTTGCTCAAGTCAGCAATGCAGCGAATGCTGTATCCCAGGCGCATGACCCCTACCACCCTCCCCTTAACCCCCTCCCCCCAATCTCTCCCTACGCCCCTCCCCCACCTTCTCCCCTCCCCTCTCCCCATTCCACTCGAGTCACGCACGGTGCTGACGTCAGCGATGCGCCGCATGCTGTCTTCGTACTTGCCTGAACAGCGCCTTCCCCTTACAGACCCATCCCCTCGCCCCACTCCACCACCCCCCCCTTCCCCCTCCCCCCCCCCCTCCCCAAACAGTCACACACAGTGCTGACGTCAGCGATGCGCCGGATGCTGTCTTCATACGACGTTGCACTGCGCTGCCCGGGCGGCTGCCGCTGCCGCCGCGTGTACCATAGCACGTACCGCGTCTGCTTGAAACGGGGATGGGACGGATGGAGGGTTGAAGGGTGGAGGCGGTGGTGTGGTGAATGGGCATTTTAAATGGCGAAGGATTTATAAGTCAACTTGAAAGAGCCCCGCTCGATACAATCATAAGAAACCCTCTCGCTGCAGTTACATTTTCACAAGCGCACCTGCAGCGGGTGCAGTCCCAGCTTAGCCTCGCGGCTCTGCCGCTCCGCGTCCTCCCACTCGCGCGCGCGCCCCTGCTCCCCGCGCGCCTTCTCGTCATGCGCCCAGCCCCCACGCTCCTCGCCCTCCTCGTCCCTGCGGGCAGGCGCACGAGGAGCGCGCAGTGGGGGCCGCGCAGGAGTTGAGAGGGAGGCGCAAAGCCCGCGGACGCTCGGCAGGACAGGGGGAGGCACGAGCCAGTGCGGCGGGAAGCGGAAAGAGAGAGGCGGGACTTGCGTACCTGGAAGATCGGAGGTCTGCCATGGCTGAACTGAACGACTCGAATCTTGTAAAGCTGAAAAGCCTCTAACGCGGCAAAAACGCACTCCAATAGCGAGCATTGCCCGCTTCGTTGCTGGCTTGCTGGTGCTGGGGGGCTCGGGTTCACAGACTTTACCCATTCTCGGTATTGACGATCCCGACATTGTTTTGAGTACCGATTCACATGTGAGTTAGGTGGTTTGTGTAACAAACAATTGATTCGTGGTTTCGTACAATTAGCTGGGCATTCTGCGTTGGTTGAAGTGCAACCTGGCCAAATTCCTCCTCGAAATTCACATCGCAGAGACATTGGATTTGCCCTCAACCGCTCATAACACCTGATTCTGCCCCAGCTGTCGAGTTGTTTTCAGCCTCGAATTTGCCGTTTCACCTGCACACACGGCAGTGCCTCTCGACTCGAGTCACAACAAGCAGTCCGCCTCGCCCTCCACGTCGCCGATCGCCTCGTCTCCCGCTTCGCGACACCGCTACCATGCCTGGCGTCAGCCGCGCACCGCCTGGCGTGACTCTACATTCACGCCAGGGGTCGCGGGATCGTGCCGAAAGGAGATCAGTTGACAAAGCGTTTTTGAGGCACGTCAAAAGTCGCGGCGAGTCGGGACGTGACAAGAGATCAGTCGACGGACCTCGCGAGGTCAGTGCCACTGAGGCGACAGAACTACCAATGTCGAATTTCGCCGCTGTTCGAACTTGCGTTCCTCCTTTTAGCCGCGTGGTGGAAGAAGACTGATAAGTGAGTTCATCGTTCTCTGTATGCTGATGAGGCGAATTCAAGTTACACCGTCCAGGCGCGCAAAGGTGTCGGCTCCTCTCATTTGGCCATTCATGGCGGCGCGTTCTTCACATCCCGCGCGGCTCGCTCTGGTGCTCGTCCTGGCGTCGCTCGCAGCGGTTTTAGTCGCCGGGCAGAGCTCCTACAGCGTTGCTGACTCGCCTCCTCGCTCTGACCCCGCCTCTCCGCCGCCCTCCGCCACTTCCCCGCCCTCCGCCTCTCTTCCAGCTTCCGTCTCTGCGTCTGCGAATACGTCTGCCTCAGCGCCGCTGCTTCTTCCATCCGCCGCTGGCGGAGACGGGCTGGGCGCCGCAGCGGGTGGGAATGGATCAGACAGTCGCAATAACGCGTCGCTCATTAGCGGAGTACTGGATGGCGAGTATGGCAGGTGAATGCGATGCGATGCATGAGATAAGATGCATGCAATTCGGTGCTTCTGACACCTGTTTCTTGAGCGATGTCACCCGGTGGCAGGGAAGGGGAATGAGAGAGCAGCCATTGCGTTTAGCACCACGGCCCCTTGGCGATCACTCAAGGACGCACCTCGTGCCCCCATGTTCCCACGCCCCCACTCCCCCAGGTACCTGCAGGGGGGGCTGACGGCGCACGTGTGGGGGCAGCCATTGGTGACGTCGCAGCGCAATGCCGCCACCTTCCCCGCAATCAACGCTCTGCTGCGCCAAACCAACATCACCACCGCTGAAGACCAGGTGCGCGCCCGCAACCAGCTGACAGGTGCCGGGCTGGCCAGGTAACCGGGTAATCAGGTAACCAGGTGTGCTTGCTGCCGTGTGCCTACCTGGGCTGCATCACTGCCTGCTTCCTCTTCCCTCCACCTCTCTTCTCCCACTTCCCACTCCGCCCAGATTCCTGCTCCTCCCCACTACCCCATTCTCTCCACTTCTTCCCCATCTTCCCACCCCTCTTACATCCCTCTCCACCCTTCCCCATCCCTTCCCCTCCCAGTCCACCATCCCCCTGTCCAACACGGACACGCTCTACGCAGCGGCATGGCTGGACCTCGCTTCAGGCCCCCTGCTGCCTCACTGCCTTTCGTCCCCAACCGCTTTTTCCCTTCCCCCTTACATCCCTCTCTCCCGCCCCCCCTCCCTTCCCACCAGTCCACCATCCCGCTGTCCAACACGGACACGCTCTACGCAGCGGCATGGCTGGACCTCGCCTCGGGCCCTTTGCTGCTCTCCCTGCCGCTCGTCCCCCAGCCGCGCTACTACAGCGCCCTGCTGCTCGACCCCTACAGCGACGTGCTCGCCGTGTTCGGTGCCCGCACCCATGGGGCGGGGCCAATCTCTGTCATGGTGCAGTGGGACAGGCAGGGGCAGGGGGGAGAGGGGACTAACTCCAGTCTGGCTGGTGCAGCTGGGGGAGGAGGAGGGGGTGGGGGAGGGGAAGGGGGAGAAAATAATGCGTCAAGCAGCAACGACATGGGGCGTACAGTGCTGGGCGTGAGCAGCAGGACTCGCAATGTGTTTGTGATCGTGCGCATGCTGGTGGCGGGGCCTGATGACGTGGCAGCTGCCAGCAGCCTGCTGAGGTGAGTGGTCACGTGCTGACATCATCAATTGCCCCATGCCTAATTGCCCATCGCCCATCAGCCTCTCAGGTCATTCTGCTGTGTCTCCTCCCTCCTCACCCCCTCCTCCTGGTGCCTCCCTTCTGCTATCTTTTCCCTGGAGTTCCTCATCTCCTCCCCCTTACCCTTTCCCCCTCCCAGCAATGTCACCCTCACACGTCCCGCCACCAACGCCCCCCCCAACCCCCTGCCGCCGCCCGACCTCTCTGAGCTGGCGGGGCTGCCAGATGGCATGCAGCGATTGGTGCTAATCGACCGTGCACTACAGGACAACCCGCCCGCCCAGGACCAGGCTAACCTCGAGTGAGTCACATTTCCATGTTGCCGCCACGCTATATCCACGTACTTGTCTCACTCTCAGTGTTGTCACACACCCACGCTTCAAACATGCTGACGACAATCCAACTCTCCATCCCATCCCCTCTTTCCATCCCCCTGTCCCTTCACTCCCATCTCCCTCTTGTCCTGTCCTGCCTCCCCCCCACTCTCCCCTTTTATCCTCCCCTTCTCCCCCTCTCTCTCCCCTCCCCCACAGTGCACTCAGCCAGCTGGCAGCCATCGGAATCTCCCCCTCCGCATCGCCCTTCTCCCCCGCGGCCCTCTCACCGCTGCAGCGCACAGCGCTCTCACAGGCGTACGCAGTGGCGAACGTGACAATAAGGGGCGCGTACACGCTGATGCTGCTGGGCGTGAACCGCTCCATGGTGGTCAACCGCTGGCTTGCTGACACGTCGCTGGGCTAGTGCGTGGGGGAGGGATGAGTGGTGACTAGTGAGGCTGGGAAGGGATGGGGGTGTTGGAGTGCACATACATGGGCATGCGCTCTTCACAAAAAAACGGTATAAACTCGCACGTGCACGCGTGTATAAAGCATAAATTTATGCATCAGCTCTCCGCTCGCGTCCTCCCCCCCCTTCTTTTTCTCACCTCGTGCATTCTCCATCCCTCTTCTCCCCCATCCCATCCCCCATCAGCTACGGCGATCGCTTTCTGTTCCGAGCAGCCTTCTCATCCACAGGGGGCCTGGGAGCACTGCCTGCCTCCGAGTCGCTCTACTTCTTCACCTGGCAGGGGCCCTTGGGCCTGCGCTACAATGGTGCCAACGCCAACTACTCCCTGCACCTCTCTCCACCGCCCGTCACCGCTTGCGGCTTCTGGTCACTCACAGTGTACAACGGGGACGGGTTCCTCCCCCCAGGCATGTGGCGCAACAGCATCGGGGACCGCACCAAGGGACTGGCGTACAACCCGGACGGCACACTCACTGTTCCCATCCAGCTGGCGGCGCCGGCCAATGCGAGCGTTCAGGCCAACTGGCTGCCGACACCGAACTCGACGTTTTCCGTGGTGCTGAGGGTGTATTGTCCCTCGGAGAGCGTGCTGAATGGGGAGTGGCGGCCTGAGACCGTGCAGTTAGTGTGATCGTGAGGAGTGTGGCTGGACTAGTCGTTGCTTCCCGTGTTGAAAATGGACTGGCTGGCACAGCAGCCTGGCAGTATAGCATTGTACTGAGAAAAGCATTGTCTCGTACTGGAGTATAGTGTACTATGTATATATACGTATAACAGTCAGGAGGTACAACGCTGTGCATTGCAGTGCAAGTAACACCACCAGACTCCAACATGGGCCCCTGCCCACGGGTCGACTGCAGCACCCGCCATCAACACCACAGGCACTACCACATCCCACCCAACAGCAGCCCCACAGTCACAGGCAGGCACTATCAACAGCATCAGAAAAACCTGACGCAACCGCTGCACGCACAAGTGCCTGTGTTGGGCGGGTCAGAGGCTCCTTACAGCCCACGCCTGTGAGGCTTTGAGCCTTGAGGCATGCCACAAGACATGTGTGGTTTCTTGGGTCAAGTATAAAAATTGTCCAGGATGTGAGAGGGCAGGCCAGCCACCCGTGGTGGGGCGGGTCAGACTTGGAGGCCCAGGATGGCCTGCAGGCGCACGGCAAGAGCCAGCAGCTCCTCGTCCCAACCCCTGGGCGCCACCAGCCCCACCCCCAGGGGGCTCCCCTGCAGCGTGGTGACTGGCACCGTCACCTGAGGTGGGCAGAGGGGAAAGCAGAGGTGGAGAGAGGCAGGGGGATTAGGGGAGGTGGAGGGAATGGGAGGTGAGATGGCACATGAGGAGCAGGGCGGAGGGATGCTGCACATGGCCATGACAGCAGCATGAGGCACGTAAAGCCAACACACTGATGTTCTCACATTCACCTGCATGTGCAATCTCTATCCCTCCCCACACCCCCACCTGAGCCCCTCTGTTGTTTTCACCTGAGGAAGGCCGGCAGCGCCGCCAATGACGGTGAGGGCCAGCGTGCGCACGCGGAAGGAGTCCACGTCAGCAGGCGGGGCGGCCTTGAGCGGCGCTATGCTGGGCGCGGCTGGCAGCATGAGCAGCTTGCCGCCCGCAACCAGGCTCTCCACGTGCGATGTGAACTTGGCTCTCTTCTCCCGTGCTTGCGCCACTGCCTCTCCCTGTGGGTCCACTGCGCTGGCGGCGTGGAAGCGCTGTGCCACTCCGGGGCCAAACGCAGGGCGGTGCTCCGTGATCCACTGCCCGTGACACTGCCACGCCTCCATTAGCTGGGTACGGGCGGGTGGATGGGTGAAGTGAGAGAAGAGGAAGAGCAGGGAGGAGAGGGAGTGTTGAATTGTGAGACATCAGAAGGCAGGGCGGTGAGCTGTGATCCACTGCCCGTGACACTGCCACGCCTCCATCAGCTGGGAGGATTGGGGGAGAACGAGGAAATTAGAAGTGGAGACCATGGCACCGTCACGCCTCCACCAGCTGGGGGGAAGAGAAGGCGAGAGACAGGGAGAGAGGGGCAGAGAATGGGAGAGAAGGCCTCACATCTACCAATTATTTTTTATTGAATGGCTCACGTCCCAGTGCTTCACCACAGCTCACCTGCACCACCCACATCACCCACCTGCAGCACCCTCATGGCCTCCACCCACTCGTGCAAGCTCCCCACCTCGCTGCCCTCCTCCCCCGCCACCACAATCTCCTCCGGCCGCCCGCCCACCACCGCTGCGATCTCGTCTACATGCGGTGACATCTTCACGTAGATTGCGTGGCCGGCATCTTTGTCCGCTAGCTGAAACGCGTCCTCCGCTATCAGCCAGCCGGTGAATGGGCGGAGGGCGGCAGGGGATGAGGAAGAGGAGGAGGATGGGGAAGAGGAGGTGGTGGAGGGGGAGGGGGCGAGGGAGGGGGAGTGGAAGAGCGTGGAGCCTACTCGCTGGAGGACAGAGGCATCGCGCGCAAACCAGCCCACTGCCGTGTGGAGGAGTGGGGAGAGACAAAAGGGGGGAAAGAGGGGATGGCGTGGGGAGGAGGGCGAGGAAGGAAGGATGGGCAAAAGCGAGTGTGTGGTGATTTCACACACACATCTACACATGAGTCACACACAGTGAAGCATGGGTGTGGCACTTGAACCAACAGATCCTCCCATCTACACCTGCACTCGCTGCCCCTCTCACCGGCGTCCATGGACGGCTCAAGGGGCTGCGCGGGGAGGCGGGCATGGGAGGAGCGGATGCCCCACACGCCACACACATTCACACATGGTCGAGACTTATACACAGACACAGACCCACGTGGGCATGACACTTGCAATTTCGCCAGTCATCCACATCCACCCCCACTGCCCCGCTCACCGGCATCCATGGAGGGCTGCAGCGGCTGAGCGCCGGTGAGCGGCAGGCGCGCATGGGAGGAGCGGATGCCCCACACGCCACAGTGGTTGGCGGGGATGCGCACCGACCCCGCTGTGTCGCTGCCCAGGGCGAAGTCCACTAGGCCCGCTGCCACCTGCGGTAGAGGGGAGCGTGGTTTCATATAACGGTCGTGCAATTGACATATTTGTGGTGGAGAGCATGGTGTGGCACGTTGAATTCACTACAGAGAATTCACGAAAGTGCGCAGCGACCCCTCTGCGTCGCTACCTAGAGCGAAGTCCACCAGGCCTGCTGCCACCTGCGGTGGTGGGGATGATTTGCAGAGTGGCAATCACAAAGTCCACCCACTACCTTGATGAGTCTATGCGTCCCCAGTGGTGTTGCTGGGGTGTGCGCCCCTTTCACCCAGTCGATGGGTGGAGAGCGGTGCCGGAGGGTAGAGCCCGTGAAGAAGGAAACGACAGGCAGAGACAGCGGAAAAGAAAGAGGCATGGGAGCAGAGGGAAGGTACTGAGGACAAGAAATGCCACCCACCGCAGCAGCGGAGCCAGAGGAGGAGCCGCCGGGGATGCGGAGGGGAGCCTTTGGGTTGAGGGGCGTGCCGTAGTGCGCGTTCTCCCCCGCCAGCGAGAATGCCAGCTCGTCCATCGCCGCCTTGCCCACCAGGGTAGCGCCCGCTTCTAGTAGCGCCTGGTGGTGGGGGAATGGTTGTGAGGGGTGCAGAGCAGTGCAAGGGGTTGGATGGGGAGGAATGTGCAGTAGAAGGGGGATGGGTTTGAAAGGAGGTGAGATGAGGGGTGGATGCATGCATGAAAGGAAGGAATAAGACATGGAAATGCACATGCACATGCACATGCACATGCACATGCACATGCACATACACATGCACCTGCACCTGCACCTGCACCTGCGCATGCACATGCACATGCACATGCACCTGCACGACGGGGGCGGTGGTGTGCGGGACGTCATGCGTGGCGAGCCACGTGGGGTTGCCGAAGCCCGTTGGCACGCCCGCCACCTGCACGCATCCACAGCAGAGAGCAGAGCGTGGGGAGAGGGGGAGTGATGAGCGTTGCGAGAAGCGGCGTCACCACAGCATTGCATGCCTAGACACGCGCTACCATCCGCACGCCGCCATTGCATGTCTCGCACGTTGATCTGTCTCACCACCGCCCCCCACCTTCTCCTCGCCCCCCCACGCACGTCGTACATGTCCTTGACGGCGAACGTCAGCCCGCGCAACGGCCCGTCAGCCGCGCCCGGCACCACGCACGCGCTGTGTTCCACAAACGCGCCCGCCTCCCGTCCCCTCGCTATTATCGCATCCACGTCGGCTGGAAGCGCCCCGCTCGCGCTCGCGCGCACGACCCGCGCGGATCGGCGGCTAGACGAGAAGCGTGAGTTGCGGCGTGTATTGCGGGGGTGTACCGAAGGAAGGACTGAGTGACCTGGGAATGCGGTGCCGTGGAGTGCAGAGGACGCAAGAGAGGGGAGGGAAGGGAGGCGGGGAGCGGAAGGAGCGGCATGCAAGCAGCGAAGCGACGCCGCTAAATGCGATGGCAAGGACATGGCGGAAGCTTCTAAACAGAATGACTAGTCAGAGGATAGCGTAATGCTGGTGATACACGCGATGAAAGCATTGAATATGAAAATGCGGATTTGCTTGTCGGCACGGCATCACCAAGGAGTTGGGGATGGGCTGCCGCGACGGGAATTCGGCAGGGAAGATGCTGGAAACGCAGCTGTTAGTAGCTGCTTCGAAATTTGCATGTTCGTACACTCGCTTGGGACGCGGTGAAGATCGCCTCGCCCATACTTTTAAGAGCAAACTACGTGTCTTATGATAAAAGGGACTTGTTACAGGAAATGCTATTCAATACAGGTGATCACTGCTAGCCATGTGATATAAGCACTATTCCCCTAAATAAGATGTGTTACAATAATCAACAAAACTACGATTAGTTGATGGGTCAATGGTCTCTTCAGTACAATAAGCAGACAGCACTATGCCTCTCGAGCCATCTGCTGTTACCATGATCGAACCAAAATTGATCTGGCACCAGCTAACCTGACAGCCAGATGTATAACATGAAGCTGCAACACCTCTACAAAATCCGTTACCATGTTAGAAAGCACAAACAAAAAACTCCGTAGAAGCTTAGCGCCCTGTGTACTGCTGCATGGTGAAGAAGGAATGGTCTGGTAAGTTGACATTGATATGCCTCAGCCACTGCTCCGCTGCTGCCTCAAGGCCCTGTATGCACCACCTATCAGACCACAGGCTCCCACTGGCCTTGTAACTGGTGAAACCAAACGGGGCCAAAGCTGTGGTGGAAATCCTTGCCAGTGAACCACCGCTCCAGTGCACGGCATGATTCTCTTCCTCGTGCGAACTTGGTGGAGGAGAGAACATGCACGACTGAGGAAGCTTCATGGGGGATATCCAATATTCATCATTGCAGCGAACACAAGAACCTGCAGTGCATGAGAGAGGACAAGAACTTAGCGACTGACAACTGATACGCCTTCATGACAGGCTGATGAAATTGTAATACAAGGCTCACCTGATAAAGATGGGCCTGGTGAAGAGAGACTGTGAAATGTCAAGAAAGATGCCCCAAGATCACGAACACTGGGCCCGGCTGGAATCTTGTATAGTGGATACCTACACACAACGACGAACTCGTGAAATGCAGAACAAAACAATACATGCCTTCCAACAAACAATAGTCAAGACAGATCCCTGAATAACACTCACTCTTACCATGCAATAGCCATCCAGCTTCGTGGGTGTAAATCAATGCTGCTAAGGTGCCTGAGACAGGGAAATTCCCTCTCCAACTCTTCCACCTGCGACCATTACAAGTCGAGGTCTGAAACAATGGAACACAACAACCATAGCCTCGCAAGCCAGAAATGCAAGTAACAACCCTTACCTTCGAGAAGAGTGGCAACCGCACATGAGGAGGTGCTCTTTCGTAAAACTCCAATAACAATCGACCCCCGTTACAGTCTTGACAGGAATCCCAAGACACAGCGGCACACTCGTCGACAGAGTTGTGACCATCCAATCCTGTAAGGAGCTCTTCCATCATATGAGATTGTGACGCGTGTATCTTGGAACCCCATGCGCCATCGACGGATGATTCCATCACACAGCCCTCGACTGCTTTTGCTGCACCATCAACTCCCCGACCCTCGTTCCTATCACTGCTCTCGCTGCTGTCACTACTGGAATCATGAAAGCTCACGTCACTGCAGTCACTGTCGGGGCCACTGTTCCTGTGAAACAAATATTGAAAACGACATGAGGTGCCACACAATAATGAAACCGAGAAAATCATATGGCCTTTCATTGACTCGCTAATCGCTTACATACCTCGACTCAGGTAACTGCCAGGAGCTGCTTCGAGCATATAGTTGCAAACCGGAAATGGAGGGTACGTAATATTGAGTTGCATGCGTGCCATTAGCGAGCTGAATAGGAACTCCAGCCCCAAACGCGCTCCACTCCTCCAAAGAGTCCCACAGATCTCCCAACGTATAAAACGCGCAACAAGTTGACGATTCGTGCCTCCCCGGGTGTGAAAAACGTTCCAATTCCTAAAAAACGAGACACTATAGTCAGGAAAAATGTGGTTGAAAAGGAGTGACAAAGGGATATCAACATACTGTCGTGAACAGACCTTGTTAATATACTGAAGCTTTACTCGCGGAGTCACGTTAGAGATGAAACTTCCCAGATTTCGACTTGCTATTCTTGCGGGTTCTATGCTATTCGATGTCACGGCTGCCTCAAAATCGTGTGAGCTATGAGCTGCAGGTACTCGCTCAGAGTCGTGCCTCTTCTGGTATCTTGGCCCACCCGCAAGCTTCTGCGTCTTTCCATGATATGTTCTTTGATGAAAATCTGCGTCCCTGCTCTTCCACGCCATAGCCTCTCTTTGATGATTTGTAACCCCTACAACTGCTCCAACCATGACCTATGTTAGCCTAACGTTAAAAGCGAAAGCAGGAGTGTTGCTACGTAAGACTAGTAACTACCTATGAGATAGCGTACACGTTTCCTAGGTTTGCCAAATCTTCGAGTTATGGATGGAGGTGGCCTTAGGCAGGGGACACCGTGTATCTGCAGCATGTGGTGGTGCTGGGAAACCCCACACCAGGAGGAATGGTCCATCCATCCCAAACCTACGCTCATCACGAGGTGCTCCCATCTCCTCCCTTCCCTTACCCGCATCCCATAATCCAAGAACGGGCAGGCGATTGGTTCGGCCTCGATTCGGTTCAAGCTGCCCCGAAGATACAGCCAACGGAAAATCCTCTGGGTGCCTCTTCAGCGATTTCTCCTGAAAACGCCTGACATGATCCAACGGTCAGAGTGATTCCATTCCGACACTGGGACAGCCACAACTTCCACCAGCGCCACTCGCCTTTTGCCGCGGTGGCGGAAAAGCGGGCTCGCAAGCGTGGCGCGGAAGGCTAAGATTTGCGGGCGGAATTACGGGAATAAATTTTGTGGCAGCCAAACACCTTCTCCTATGTGGAAGTTGCGTTACAGTCACAGGTTTGTGTTCGAGGAACACAGCTATTTCGAGTATAGTATACCACGAATAAATGGAGAAAATCTCACACAAGTGTGTACAAGTAGTGTGTTGAATTATACGCTTCTTTCGCTTGCAAATCATTGAACGATATCAATAGGTGCGTCGCGATTTAAAGAGGTTACGAACTCCCTCTCCCGCCACCGACGAGAGAGGCGAACACCCCCTTGGCCAACCAGTGGCATCATCAAACAGCTCCCCACCAGCTCCTCCACTTCCCCCCCTCCTCCATCCCCTTTCCTGCTTCCCCCCACTGCCGAACCCCATGCCGCGCGTTTCATCCAAAACTACCTGGCTTGCCCTTCCGTACGGAGGTGAGCTGTCTATGGATGAATCAGGTGTGGTTTGTCGTAATGGATAACCAGAGCCTTGCATAGTACACAGTACCTTCGTCCTCGTGCTCAGGTTGCGTCGATCCTCAACATGCGTCAAATAGGGGCGCATCTCGACGGTATCTGACATCCCTAGGAGGTGTTAGGTTTAACTTTTCCACCTCGTTTCATAACTCGATGTGAAGGGAGAAAGCCATGTGAATGAATAATTAGATTTGATTTTATTAGAACGTCCGCGTCTGTAGGCAACTTGGTTAGCCCTAATAGCAGCCATGGGCCAGCAGCAATCTGCATCTCGCCGTCATCCTCTGACATCACGTCAATTGGCGGAATCAGGAAACAATGTGACCAAGGCGGTGCGGCAGCATGTGCTGCACGGCGCAGCGACTGGCGACAACCAACCAGACGCGCTGGGTGAAAGTCCCAGGTCGTCCGCAGCTGTTGCAGCGGAGGATCCCTTTTCCGCAAGCGGCGGGTTAATCGGGAGAGAGAGCTCGGCGGGGGAGGGGAGCGCGCGCGGAATGGCGGAGGTGTGCGGAATGTCGGTGCTGGAGGCGGTGGAAGGGCTGTCTGAGGCGGAGCTGCTCGAGTTCCGCGACTGGCTGACCTCCGCGTGGCGGTAAGCGACTGGATGACCTCCGCGTGACGGTATTTTGTTACATAACGCACTGGTTCTTGTAAAAATGTCGGCTTTGCCAGCCTTGAGCCAGGAATTGGCAAGGTGCGGCCGTGACGCGCTATTCCGTGTCAGTCTCCCACCTCACGTCCTCCTCTTGTCTCGGAATCAACACTTTCATAATGCTTTGCATTATTCTTCCTCTTGACTCTCCGTCGTGTCGCACTGCAGGTGCGCCAAATGCGGCAACGAGCGGGAGGACTGGACGAGGCGGCATCGCCTGAGGGCCATCTTCGAAGCAGTGGGCATGCACCAACCGTCCTCTGCGCCTCTCGCCACTGTCCAACCTGCCTCCTCCTTGTCGTTCCCCGTTCCGCCTGCTCCGCCCAGCCCTCTGCTTTCCCCCACTCCCTCCGCGACGCCGCCAGTGCCCCCCCGGCGCCCGCCAGTGGGCAGTAACCGCCTGTCTCCCGCCAATGCTTCGGCCCTCCCGCCCCTGTCCCCCACGTTCGGGTCGAGCCTAGACGCTCATCCGCGCTCGTTTGGCAGCGCGGAGGCCCACGGGAAGGCGCACTTCTCCCCGCACTCCGCGGCCGCACTTACGCGCGCGGCCGACGAGAACGCGCAAGGCGCTATAGAACAGGGGGGAGCTGATGGCGGGCTGGCGGAACGTGCAGAGGAGGGCGCGGGCGGGGGAACGGGGATGGCAGCGGGGGAGGCAGCGGAGGCGCGGACGGGATACAAGCTGTGGGGGCGCAAGGGCGGCGGCAGCCGCAACGCAGACCCGCTCGCGCTCGCTTCCCTCTCCGCCGCAGCAGCCGCCAATGGGGGGAGCGGTGGCGGCGCTGCTGCCGCTGGTGGTGGGTTGAGTGGGGCGGGCGGGGGAGGCATGCGCCCGCCGCCGTTGCGGCGCACTGTCACCGCCACCGCCGCCATGACCTCCTCGCTTCTCTCCGCCGCCGCCGCTGCCTTCGCGTCCCCCGCGCACGACCTCCGCCCCGCGCAGTCCTCCTCGTCGGGATCCATTCCGCTCAACCCCGTCCCGCGCCCACGTCCAGCCAGTAACGACTCTTCTGCCACGTCAGCAGAGAGCGCAGGAGCTGTCCCTCCTCCCCGCTCGCCCGTTCGCTCTGCGGACAAGCCCGCCTCAGGGCCGCTCAAGGCGGCGCTGTCCAGTTCCGCGGGCGACGCGGGGGATGTCCGCCCGCCCTCAGGCGCGCAGCGGTTCGCGCTGGGCTTTTCCATCCCGCGCACCCACTCCGCCTCCCGCGCGCCCGCGTCTGGCGTTCCGTTGTCTACCCCGCCTCCTCCCCCGTCCGCGTCATCATCGCTGTCAGCCACGTCAGCAGCTGGGGGCACGAGCCTCCATAGGGGATTGTCGGGGAGATTGAAAGGCGCGCTAGGCGGGCTTGGGGGGCTGAGGCGCGCGCGGTCGGATGCGGCGCAGCTGGCGGAAATGATGGCAGCGAGCGGGGACCTCGTTGGGGGGAACAGGGACGGGGGAGCGGATGGGGGTGCAGCCGTCGGGGGGTTGGGGGAGATTGAGCTGTTGGCGGCGACGGCAGAGGAGGGGGAAGGCGGAAAGGGTGGCGCAGAGGGCGACAAGGTGGGGAGCGGGCTGGGCGGGCGGAGGCGGCGAGGGCGGAAGAAGAGCCTGGGGCAGGTGGGGCGGAGCGTGAGTGTGCATGCGGGGGAGCAGAGCCCGTTCGGGCCGGGGAATGGCGAGTACGGGGGCGAGGGGGGGTGCAGTGCGCACAGCAGCGGCAGCAGCCAGCAGAGCCAGGCGGTTGGGGGGGCCGTTTCAGGCTGCCCCATGGGGATGGGCGTGGCGGCAGCATCTGCAGCAGCCGCAGCAGCAGCAGCAGCGCGGGAGGGCGGCAGTGGGCGGCGCCCCATGCCGCGGTCGCGCAGCTACGAGACGGTGGCGCACGTGGACAGCGACAGTGGGCGCGCGGGCGGAGGCGCGTGGGCGGGCCAGGGGGGCGAGCGGGGGGAGGGAAGTAAGGGGAGCCCGGGGAGGAGCAGTGGGGGGAGTGCGGGCGGGGAGGCGGGCAGGGGGGAAGCAGAGAGGGGGGAGGCGGGGAGGGAGGGGGAAGGGCGGGGGGAGGTGTCGATGGATCGCAAGATGCTGAGAGCCATCACCACGGCGCAGATGCTGCTGCAATCCGACCAGGTGACGTCCTGCCCATGCCCATCCTACACTACACGGCCCCTCATATCCACCACCCACTGTCTGCTCATCAACTTGCTGCTTCTGCCTCTCCCCTTCCCGTGCCTCCACTTTACTCCCCCCACTCTCATCATCCCTTTCCTCTCTCTCCTCCTTCCTTCGCCTGTTCTCTCCCGCTACCCGCGCGGCTGTGCTGCGGGGTGGCAGTCAGCGGGGGCGGGGAGGGTGTTTGAGCACCTTCTTGCATCGCTGCTGGACATGACGGGGTCGCAGTTCGGCCTCATCGGCTCTGTGCTCTTCCAGGCCAACGGCTCTCCTTACCTCAAGGTAGCCCCCCACGCCTCGCCCCGTCTCCCCCTCATCCCAACCTTCTCGTGGCCTTCTTTCCCCTTCTGTCCTGCCTTAACGTGATGCGTTGCAACCCCTTGCCTCAAGTAACACCTCCCCCCCTTCTCATGGTCGCAGTTTCCCCCTCAATCTACTCTTTCTCTCCCTTATACTGTTCCCCCCTCACCGCTCACATGCTGTGCGGTGGTGTGTGGTGTGCCATGGCGTGGCATACGACATCTCATCGCCTGGTTTATCACATGGCATGGCACTTGCAACCCTTCCCATTGCTTATGCAAACTCATGTGTCGGTCGGTGGCCTGGCATGGCATGGCGTGGCATGGCATGGCATGGCACGGTGCGTCACGGCATGGCAGTCACACGCAGCGTCCAACATAGCATGGACTGAGGAGCTGCAGGCATGGTACCGCAACAACTCCCACCGGGGCCTTGTCTTCACCAACACGGCCAACCTGCTGGGCGCCACGCTGCTCTCCGCCGCGCCCGTCATCTCCAACCACCCCGCCCTCGACCCGCGCTCCGGAGGGGTTCCCCCAGGCCACCCTCTGCTCTCTGCCTTCCTCGGCGTTCCCCTCATCGTCGGTCAGTGCCCTCTCTTTCACTCACGCGGTTTTGATACTTTGATGCCACATGTTCAGCACACCATTGGTCAGTCAGTGCCTCTCCCTCTGCCCTCAGACAGTTTGATGAATCAACACCACATGTTCAGTATTGTGCCTAGGGTATGGGCCACGATTACTGTCCCCAACTAATGAGATGAATGCCGCATGCCACCAACTGCACCACGCCCCCCAGGGTCGGAGATGATAGGCATGTACGCGCTGGCGAACAGGGCGGGGGGGTACAGCAGGGCCATGCTGCAGGAGCTGGAGCCGCTCGCAGCCAGCACAGCCGTCATGCTGCAGGCCGTGCACGAGAGGAAGCGCAAGCGCGACGCTGAGCTGCGCCTGCTCTCCGTCCTTCAGGTATCCCCTCTCACCCCTCCTCTGCCCCCCTCGTCCCGCTCGTTCTCGTCTCTTCCGTGTGCTCATGGCGTTCTCTCATCTTTTTTCCTTGTAACATGCCGTGCCATCTTCTCCCATGCTTTATTGTTCCTCCCCGCACACTCATCTTCGTGCCACACCCGCTCCTCATAACCCCCCCAACCGTTTTCCTTCCGAAATCCATCCCTCCCCCACCCTTAACCACCCTTCCCCCCTCCTGCCGCACGCACCAGGTGGCGCGGGACGGGCTGATGACGGTGGGAGGGGACGGGCGGGTGACGTGGATGAACGGGGCGGCGTGTGCGCTGTTTGGCATGGAGGAGCAGCATGGCCACGCGGACGCCATGGGGGTGGGCATGGGCGCGCTGCACGTCAAGGCCTTCATCCACTCCATTGAAGGCTCGCCCCACTACCTCTCCCTCGGTGCGCTCCCCTTTCCCCTGCACCCCCTCTCCCTCCTTCCCTCATCTCCCGTTCTACTTGCCACGCACTGTCGATGCTGTCATCTTGGCATGCCCACTGTCTCAAGTCTCTTTCTGGGCTAATGCATGGTGGTGGTTGCGGTGTGGGCAGGGCTGGAGTCGTTTGTGGGGCACATGCGGCGCGCCACGGGCATCAGGTCTGACGGCTCACGAGTCAAGCTTCGTCTCTCTGTCTCCGTGCAGTCTCACCAGCAGCAGCAGCAGCAGAACCAGCAACAGCAGCAACAGCAGCCACTCGCACACTCAGGCCAGTCGGATCAGCAGCAACAGCAGCAACAGCAACAGGAGTTTGTAATTGTGGTTCGGGAACAGGCGGAGGCCCGCACCGCACCTTCGTGGGACCTGCCTCCGCCCAGCCGAGGGTCATTGAGAAGCCAGTCGTCTCTGCCCTCCGGGTCAATGTTCCAATCCCTGCCCCCCCTGCACTCCTCCTCTGCCACCCCGCCGCTGCTGTCGCCAACAGCACTGGCAGCCTCGTCGTCAGCAACATCAGCAGCAGCAGCAGCAGCAACAGCAGGGCTGTCGTTTCCACCACCGTTATCGCCATCATCGGCACCACTCGTTGCACCGGCGTTTGGGCGGTCCTTAGCACCAGCATCAGCAGCAAGAGCAGCAGCACCACCAGCGCCACCTCCACCACCACCACCAGCAGCAGTTTCACCAGCAGCACCATCAGCACCACCGTCAGCAGCATCAGCAGCACCGTCAGCAGCATCAGCAGCGGCAACAGCATCAGTGCCAATCCCACGACCATCAGTGCCCAAATCACCGCCCACCTCTGGGTTCCTGTCACCCATAGGAACGCCCCCCCAGTTCAGGCCCACACTCAGCAGCGCACCTCAGGGTCCCAGCAGGGATGGAGGCGGAGCAGGCAGGTTGGGCGGTGGGATTGGTGAAGTGGCAGAGGTGTGGGAGAACAGACGGCAGCGCGGAGGGCTTGAGCTGGGTAGCAGTCCCTTGGAAGGCTTTCAGCAGCAGCAGCAACAGCAGCTGCAGCCATACCAGCAGTTCCAGCAGCACCAGCAGTATTACCCTCATCCTCATCAGCAGCAGCAGCAGCAAGCACAGCAGCAGGACTTGCCGGGGCAGTGGCCGGAGGGGCAGGTTCTGTTCCGCAAGTTTGGGGAGGAGGGCAGCAGCACGCGCGGCAGCAGCAGGCGGCGCAGCACGGGGCTGATGCGCTTCCGATCGCTGGACAGCGCCAAACAGTCCTCCAACTTCCACAACTACGTCGCCTCGCTCAAGAGCTGAGCTGACCTCATGCATGAATGAACCCACCCGCTCCATCTCTGCTGAATGAACCCACCCGCTCCCACCCACCCGCTTCCGATGAATGAATTTGCGTCGGGCGAATGGCTTGATGATGTGTTGCAGTTGCTGTATTGCGTCATGCTGTGCTCTGTTGTAATGTGTTGTGCTGTTTCGTGGGACAGGAGTGATTGTGTGCTTGGTTGGTGTGTTCAGAGCGTGCTTAGCGAGTGCAGGACTGGACTGCATTCCATCCCATGGGTGTGTTGTGTATGTAGTGTAAGCTAGGAAACACATCAGTAGATGCCAGTGGGTAGCAGATTACGGTATGTAGTTTTCTAGGTATTCCATTTGTTCATTGTGTCAAAAGATAACAAGATTTCCAAAAGATCGGCTCCCAACAGCCCTACGCCAAGCATGCAACTGGTCAACGCACAAGAGTTCCTAGGTGATTCCCAAACAAACATGCTTCAACAACTCCCGCACTGCCAACGGCTTTGAGGACACGGGAAAAAACCCCACAACAGCCTCAGAGCCAGCCTCCGTTCACTTTACACGACCAAGGCAACCAGAGGGGCAACGAGCAGCAGCGATGCGAGCATCGTGGCACCTGCAACACATGCCACAGGGATCACGCAACCACGGGCAACGGCGAGTCAGAGACGTGCAACGCGCTACATCAGCGCGCGACAACGCTTTCAGTCTAAGCAATCAAACGAGATTCAGGCTTTGAGTATAGATACATGGGCCCTCCCGCTCTGCTCTGCGCAAATACCTGTGGACGCGGCCTTGGGCGGCGGCGGAGGAACAACCGGGGGCGGTGGTGACGCAGGGACAGGGGTAGGAGCAGGTGCGGGGACAGGGGCGGGAGTGGGGGCGGGCCCCGGGGCGGGCACGGGGGCCGGGGATGGCGCTGATGCCGGCGTGGGGGCGGGCGCTGGGGTGGGCGCGGACGCTGGCGCGGGAGAAGGGCTGGGCACCGGTGCCGGTGTGGGGGCCTTTGGGGTTGGCGTAGGGGGCGCGCGCGGCTGGGCGAGCACGGGCGCCATGGAGAGGGCGACGATCGCCAGCAGCACCGAGAGTATCGCTAACGACTTGGAGCGACCCATCGCTGGAACTGAACTCGGAACGGAAACAAACGCGTTTCGAATTAGCGTTCCTGGCGAGAAGCAGGGGCCGATAAGTAGCCTTCCTGTCCTGGAAAACGGCGGAGAAGGCGAAAAAGCTTTCAACTACTACACACGGTCGAATTCGATGAGTATGATAAGTTCGACTCTGGCTCTCCTCTTAAGTCCACGCCGACACGCAACGCTCGGATCGGAAACACGCTCCTTTCGAGCGTGTCACTTCGCGGAACCGTTGGGTGGCTGCGGTGGGGCGGGCCACCCTGCCTTCCTGCTGAGTCCACCATTCGACTCGCTTCAGCCGCTCGCGCGGGGCGTCAAGGCAGACGAATGGGGAGGTCATCGAGAAAGCGCTAGATCGCGTGGCGCGGAGAAATTGAGGTGCGCATGTGACGGTTCCACGTCAGCTGACAGGTACGCGGACATTGAACCTAGCGGTTCGATGGGGGCTGCAGAGCGGTTGAGAATTGGTGCGTGAAAATGACTTCGGAGTCGTCATATACGAGCTGCTTCCTTATCAGCTCCTACGGTATGTTCCTTGAGAACTTAGGAAAAAAAACCCATATGGCCTTAACCAACCAAGCAATATGTAATCTACTATTTTATAGCAGTGAAGGAAATCAATAAATGAGTTTTATTTCCTAATGGAACATTCATGCTATATATGACGTGTATATCATGCATTGTGCATAGAAGGCCACGTTAGAACCTGTTATAAATGCAAGAAGGAAGCAATGCAAGCAGGAGCAAGCAATGCATTCGTGGCTGAAGCAGTAAAGGTGATATTGCTTAGGTTTGATAATAGGCTCATCTATTGCAGCAACATTTGTATGGTATCGCACTAAGGGCGTGACATTGTAAATGTTGGCCCCTTGATTTGTCTGCTCTTACCGAATTCCGTCAATTTGAACCCTTGAATCAAAATTCAAACGGGTTCGGCCACGGAACTCCCCTCGCCTCGTTCTTCCATATCGCCTAGGGCCCCTATGAATTCACCCACCCGTCTCTTTCACCACCCAACCCTCATTCTCGACTTCACTCACCACTGGCTCCATGGCTCTCTGGACTCATTTCACCAGCCTGCGCATCTTTACAGGCTAAGTCCTTATCTTTCATTAATATTTGAACTCAGTCGTACAGTGGTGCGTGATCCTATTCGCGAGGATGCGGAAGAAGGCGGACCCGCAGAGGGCTGCAGATACTGACTGCACCGTTGTCGCAGCACCGAAATGGCGGTACGTGCAGTGCAACATCAAGGGGATGCTGGCGAAACGGGAAGAACAACGGGCCAACGGGTCGGCAGCGGCGGCGAAGACGAAGCAGACGGCGGGACGGACAGGCCGGGACAACATGGAGGACGGGATTTCGGGCGACAGTCGCAAGGCGTCGTCGAGCGACAAGAATCACATCACGCTGCGCAGCCGGCGCGTGCGCACATCTGGAAGTAGCGAAAGCAGTGGTCTTTTGGGCGGCCGTCTCTTGGCCGGCAACGAGCCGCCCGTAACCGCTATGTTTCCCGTGACAGCTGTCACTCAGAGTGCCGCCTCGGACGTCGAGCAGCCGCACGGCGCCTCGCCGTGCGACAAGCGGCGGCAGTCCGGGGAGGAAGGGTTGAGCGTGTACAAGCGGCGCCGCATGAGCTCCTTGCCGCCCGCCACGCACCCGCTCGCTTCCCTGCCCACCAATGCCGTTAGGGTTAGCTCCGCTGCTCCGCCCGGCGGGGAGCAGAGCGCGGGAAGCACGGTGAGCACGGCTGGCGCGGACGCAAAAGCGGAGTCAAGCAGCGGAGAGAGGGAAGCCGGCAGTAGAGACGCGCCTGCTGCTGCTGGCTTGTGCGCGCAAGAACCTCAGGCGCAGGCGCTCGCGCAGGGACAGGCGGATCTACAGGCGTGCGCGCAGCCGTGCGATGGGCGGCAGGCAAGCGGGGAGTGGATGGAGGCCGTTGATCCCGCTGGTCCCGCGGTGCTGGAGGTCGAGGTGGCGGGCGAGGTGGCGGTGGCGCTGCACCGCGTGCCCCCGCGCGCGCCGCCACCCGCGCGGCTGCTGCACCCGGCGGTGGCTTTTGAGAGCTCTGAAGAGGCAACGGCTCTTCGCCCTGCTGTGTGCGTAGTGGAAGCGGGAGGGGGCGCGGAGGTAGCAGCCGTGGCGGTGCTTGCGGCGAGCCCTGTGGCGGGGCAGGCGGGCAGCCCGCACGAGTCGAGCCACGAGCACGCGGACGGGGACTCGCTGGGGTGCGGCTCCGACTGCGCCATCTGCTTCCGCGCGTCAGGAGATGGGGAGGCAGCGGCGGTGGTGCAGAGCTGTGAGGGGAACGCCGCTGACACACGCGCTGGAGGCGAAGTGGGTGGAGACAAGGAGAGCGGGGACAAGGGGAGGGATGCGGATGGTGGGGACAAGGAGAGCCATGGCACGGACGGCAGTGGGAAGGACGGGGGTGCGAAGGTCGCGCTTACCATGCCAGGGCCGAACGGGGTCATATCTGGGGAGCCAGGCTCTTGTGCCCAAGCCTCCACTTCCGTGCCCGCCTTGTCCCCCCTTGCTCCCATGTCCGAGTCCCCCTCCATTGCCCATACCGGTTCAGGCGCACCCAAACCAGCGGGCGAGGCGGGCAGCCCGTGCGAAGCGGGCAGCCCCTGGGAAATACCGGGGGCGGGCGGGCAGCAGAGAAGCGAGGGGAAGGCGGAAGGGGGCGAGAAGAGCGGGTTGGAGGGCGGCGTGGGAGGGGTGCAGGCGAGTCAGGGAGTGGTGGCTGCGAAGACTGAGGCCGTTTGCGAGGAGGTGATGGATACGCGCGAGCAGATGGGTGGGGAGACAGGAGACGTTGGGGCTGGAGGAGCAAACATGACAGAGGACGAGAAGAAGGGCGTAGTGAGGGAAAGCGCTTTGAAAGACTTAGGCTCGAACGAGGTTGACATGAAAGTGCCTGTAGAGATAGAGGGTGCTGCGGTGGCGAAGGCAGAAGGAAGCGGCGATGCTGGGGGTGATACAGGCAAGGCGAGTGTCGGCAGCAGAGGGAAGAAAGTTGGCAGCAGCGGTGGTGTGAAGAGGGAAGATGAGGTGACGGTGAAGGCGGAGCGATCAGGGAGTGAGGGTGGTGGTTTAGCGGAGGGAGAGGGCAGAGCAGTGGGAGGGGGTGGGAGTGAGGGAGGAGGGGCGGAGGCCATGGTGGTGGATGATCCCGAGGACGACGACCTCGCCTTCAGCAAGCGCCGCCTCTTCCCTGATGGGCCCCCTCTGCCTGCTGCTGCTCCCAGGCCTCCTCTTCCTCCTCTGCCCCACCTTGCCCCTGCAACGGCTGTGCCCGCTGTTGTATCAGCGCGGGTACAGGTGAAGAGTAAGGCGGGTGGGAGCGAGGGTGTACCTGTGAAACGTGTGGTCGCAACTCATGCCGCTGTACCTGCCACTGCCAAGGCTGCTGCCCATGCACAGCTGGACAAGAAGGGGGGGCAGCAGGTACGGGAGGAGGTGGAAGGAGGGGTGGTAGCAGCAGCAGCAGCAGGAGCAGGGCAGGGGGAGAAGAGCCGGCTGACGCCAAAGCGGCGGCGGTTGATAGAGAGCTACGTGGACCGGCTGATGGCAGACCTGCAGCGCCCTCAGTGGATGGAGTAATGCCCACCGCCTCTCACCACTCTGCACCTCCTTGTCCTCCATTGTTTCATGCTCTTTCTTTTCAGCTAAGAGCTTGCTGGCTTGGCTTGACATGAATTTTCCTGGTTTAATTTGACTCAAGTTGATTGAATTCACCTGACTTGACTTGACTTGACTTGGATGACTCCCGGTTGCCTGCTTCTGTTCACTCTGCACCCGTGCTGCAGGCTGCCATTGGCTGGAGTGGATCCAAGGGCTCTCATCGGCCGGCTGTGCAAGGTATGGCTGTTGAATACTCTCTTTCCTTTCTACTGCTTCATCTCCCCCGCCCCTGCACAGCACCAGGCTGCTGCCACCTGTGTCTCTCCGCGCCACACCATGCTGCCCTGCCCTGTGTCGTCCATGCATGTGTGTGCCCAACAGGTGTACTGGCCGCTGGACGAGAGGTGGTACGCGGGGCTGGTGTATGCGTATGATGCACGCACGGGCAAGCACCAGGTGCGGTACGATGAGACGGAGAGCGAGTGGCTGCGCATGGCAGCTGAACGCATTAAGTTGCACCTCCCCCGCCACGACCCCCTCCTCGCCCTCTGCCCCACCCCCCCGCCCCCTCCCCCTGCTACTGCCTCTGATTCACCTCCTGCTGCTGCTGCTGCTGCTTCTGCTCCTCCTCCTGCTGCTGATGCTGCTACTTGTGCTACTGCCCCTTCGGTGGAGGATTGTGGGAAGGAGGAGGGCAGCAGGGACGGCGGCGAGCTAGGGTGTGAGCGAGATGAGGAGCAGGGGAGGGAGGAGGAAGGGGAGGACGAACGAAGCGGGGACGAGGGGGAGGAGGATGAGGAGGAGGAAGGGGGAGTGGAGGTGGTGGAGGAGGGGGGGAAGGCGGCAAAGGGCGGCAAGGGGAGGGGATGGAGGGGCAGGCGGGGGTGGCAGGGGCGGGGGCAGGGCGGGCGCGAGCTGGCGGAGCTGGCAGCGAGCATGGCGCGCGACATGGACCCTGCTCGCGCTGCTGTGCTGGCCGCTGCTGCCATGCTTTCCGCCTCCACCCGCACTGCACCCAGAGACCACAGGGCCGCGGACCAGGGGGGTGCGCTCAAGGGCAAGGTGGAGGGGGCGGGGGCGGGGGCGGGGGCGGGGGCGGGGGCGGGGGCGACGGCCGGTGCGGGGGCAGGGGCTGTTGGGTGGGAGGGCGCAGGGGGGCCGCTGGAGGAGCTGAAGCTGGGGCGGTTTGGCGCCAAGGAGCTCGTGTGGGCTCGTGTCAAGGGTGAGCAGGGGTGGGGCGTGATTGCGGAGTAGGGTTAGTGTGTGACTGTAGAGAGTAGAGTAGGGAGGTTAGATTGTGACTGTAGAGGATTGGGAGGATAGATTGTGACTGTTACGGGTAGGTGGGTTAATGTGTGCCTGATGGATATCAGGGCTGGAATGCGACTTTGGTGGTTGAATATGACTACAGCGGGTAGACAGGGATGAAAAGGAGAAGATTTGCGCAAAGGGAAAGAGGGAGGCGTAATTGGGGCCAAGTGCTGACCCATGTCTTGTGCTCTTCTGCTGCTGCTGCTGCTGCTGCTGCTGCTGCCCCATCCCCATGCGTACAGGGCACCCAGCATGGCCAGCAATGGTGTTGGACCCGGCAGTGGCGGAGCGAGTGGGGCTGCGGGCGGTGAGGGAGGGCGGGGCGGGGGAGGTGCTGGTGCACTTCTTCGGCTCCTACGAGTGCAGCATCGTTGCCGCCTCTGCCGTCTGCCCCTTCCTGCTCGGCCTCGCCAAGGGGCTGCACAACAAGAGCAAGGGCGCCTGCTTCAGAACCGCACTTCACGAAGTCGAAAGGTCCCTGCCTCGCCCCTCGCCTCTCGCCCCTCTCGCCTGACCCCTCCCCCCCTGCTACCCAGCCCCCTCGTCCCTCGCGCACCTCCTAACACATTCAATTAATCTGAACTTTCTCCACCTCCTAAGGCTGGAGCCTGCACGTAGCAGTTGCTCAGGCGAGCCTACTCTCTTCTCACACGTGCGACTTGTGTCGCACCTCACTCCCGTCCAATCCCCTCTCCGACAGGTTCCTGCTGGTGGAGGAGCTGCCGGCGAAGATGGCGTTTCTGCACGGGTCGGGGTCGGAGGAGGGCAGCGACGACGGCAGTGAGGAGGAGTCGGGCAGCGATGGGAGCAGTGCCGAGGGCAGCCAGGGAACAAGCGGGGAGGGCAGTGAGAGGAGTGGCAGTGGGGAGGATAGCCAGAGCAGTGGGGAGGAGGGGACGGGGGCAGCAGAGGCGGAGGATGGGGAGGGGCATGGGCGCAAGGGGGTGAAGGTGGTAGGCAGTGGGGGCAGGGGTGGGGCGGAGGTGGGGGGACGGGTGGCGGTGGTGGGAGGCAAGGTGGGGGATGGGCGTGGCGTGGGGCAGGCAGGGGCGAGCTCAGAGGGGGGAGAGGGGGCAGAGGCGGACGGGGAGGGGAAGGGTGTGGAGGCGAGGAGGAGCGGGGGGCAGGCAGCGGGGTCAGATGTGGTGATGGGGGGTGACTCCGCCACCACTGCCACGTCCCCGCCCTCCCTGCCCCTTCACATCGGCTCCCTCACCCTGCTCTCACTCGGTGCGCCCCTTTTCTCCGCACCCTGCTCGTTCACTTCCTCCAAGCACTTGCACCCCACTCTCCCCATGCATGTACCCCAACCCAGTCCCACACTTGAAAGCCATCTTTGAAGTTTGTGTCTGTCGTTGCTGGCCCCCATCCCGCCTGTTATGCACCCGGCCACCCATCCGCTTGTCCATCCACAGTCCCCTCTTCCCTCATGCAGTCCCGAACCACAACCACCAAAGATCCCCCCTCCCATGCGTGCAGGGCGGGTGTTGCCGGGTGCACCTGGATTCCACACGGCGCAACACATCTACCCTCTCGGCTACAAGGCTGTCCGCCCCTTTCCCTCCGCCCAAGGTGCGTTCAACCCCCTCTTCGCCGCCCACCCTTTTGTCTGCATCATGCCATTCTTCCGCTCCTCTTCCCCTTCCTCTTTCTTCCACACTTTCAAACCTTCTCTCTTCCCCCCTCCCTCTTCCCCCCCCGCCCTCCTCTGAATTCTCTGCAGACCCACGTGTGGTGGTGAATCACGTCATGGAGATCCTTCAGCAAGCACCCCCTCCGCCTCCTCCTCCCCCGCCGCCTCATCCTCCGCCGCCCATTGCTGCACCTTTGCCAGCAGCAGCGCCATTTGTGCCGTCGGGGGAAGGGGCATGGCGGCGCCCGCAGCTGAGGCAGACGCCACAGCGCATGCAGCAGCAGCAGCAGCCCAAGGGGGGCAAGAAGCCACAGCAGAAGAAACAGCAGCCTGGCGCCTCTGGGGGTGCTGCTGGAAACACCCCGGTGCCTGGTGGTCCAATCTTCCGAGTCACCCCAGAAGGCTCTGATCCGGTATGCGCTTCTGTTTTCACCTCCCACTCTTTGTCTTCTCTTTCTTGCCTCCCCCGCCCGTCCCCTCAAGCCCTCCATCCCGCCCCCTTAAGCCGCTGTCTGGTATGCCTGCACCCTCCCCTCCCTTCGTCCCCACCCTCTCCCCCCCCCCGGGCAGGTGGAGGGTCCATCACCCGGCGAGTGCTGGCGCATCATCCAGAGGCGCGTGGCGGAGGCCAAGCGCCTGCTGCTGCAGCACCTGCACCCGCCCAGCACAGGCGCAGGGGGAGGGGCAGGCGGAGGGGCAGGGGCAGTTACAGGGGTAGGGACAGGGAGTGGAGGCACGGGGGGAGGGGAGGGGAGGGCACAGAGGGGCGGGCCGATGATGGTGCCGCTGTCGGTGCTGCTGCAGCGAGGGGAGGGCAGCGGTGGTGCAGTGCTGCGTGCTGGGGCAGAGGGGGCCAGTGGTGGCAGGGCAGGCGCGGAGGCAGAGGGGGGTGATGGTAGCAGGGCAGGGGCGGAAGCAGAGGCTGCGGGGGGTGATGGGGGCGAAGCAGGTGCAGAGGCGGAGGAGCAAGAGAGAATAGGAGCTGTAATGAGCGGTGGCAATGGGGCGGATGATGGGCAGGCTCAAATGGAAGGCACACAGGGGGCAGAGAGGGATGGCGGGGGTGGGGGAAGAGAGGGCGCTGTGGGGCAGGGAGGGGCAGAGGCGGAAGCAATGGAGGTGGATGGGGGCGCAGGGGACAAGAGGGGGGACGCAGCAGCAGGCGTCCAAGGGGGCTCGGCGCAGGGGGGGTTGCCTGCAGGGGACCCTCTCAGATGGGCCTTCCCCCCTGCCTCTGCAGCGCGTCCCCTCGCCGCCTCCCCCTCATCCGCGCCCCCGCTCACCCCCTCACCCCTGCGGCCGCCGTGGCAGGCGGTGGCAGCACAAGGCACGGGGGGCGGGGCAGCGCATGGCAGTGGCAGCCCGCGGTGTGGGGCGGAGTGTGGCGGGGTGAGTGGGGGGTGGGGTGGCAGTGGTGGCAGCTGTGGCAGCGGGGGCAGCAGGGGCAGCGGGCGGTGTGGGGCGTGGCTGCCGTCACACCACGTGCGGTCGGGGGCACAGATGTTTGGCCTCACCCACCCACGCGTGGCCCAGCTCATTCAGGGCCTACCCAACGCCAGCCGCTGCCAGCAGTTCACCGCGTGGGTCAACGCCCCTCGCCCCGCGCCTGCAGCCCACACTGCGGACGCCAGCAGGGGCGAGAAGGCACGGCAGGCGACTGCGCAGGCGAAGCAGCAGGGGGAGGCGGCCCAGGGGGCGCGCGGGGGGCCCGCGGTGGTGAAGGAGTCGCGGCTGCCGGCGGGGTTCAAAGCGGTGGAGTACCGGCAGGCGTCCCTCGACCGCTGTGACGTGTGCTGCCTCTCTGAGGTCCGTGGGTGCGCGGGGTGTGGGGGGCTTTTCTATGGTGAGGGATTAGGAAAGGGCATCACTCCCCCGTGCAAGTGTGTGGGCATATGCACATGCACGTTTTCATGCTCATGCTCATGCTCATGCACACATGCCCCTCCCTGTGTGTGCGCGCGCACATGAGTGCATGCAGGAGTACGAGGACGATCAGCTGCTGCAGTGCGACAGCTGTCGCATCATGGTCCACATGGCGTGCTACGGCGTCAGAGAGCCGCCAGATGGTGGGCTGTGGCTGTGCGACGTGTGCAGCAAGTACGAGCGCCAGGGCAAGCGCGATGCCAAGCCCCTCTGCTGCCTCTGCCCCGTGCAAGGTCTGCGCCCACTCCTTGTCCCCACCCTCCCATCTTCTCCACCCCTTGTCCCCACACTCCCATCTCATCCACCCCGTTTTTCCCTCCTTTCTGTGACCTCTTCTCTGTGCCAACCGTGCTGGATAGTTAATGCCATGCCCATCCCATGCCCATCTCCATGCCCGCCCCCATGCCCATCCCCATGCCCGTCTCCATGCCCATGCCCCTCCATGCGCATGAGCAGGGGGAGCCATGAAGCGGACGGTGCACGGGCTGTGGGCGCACCTGGCGTGCTCTCTCTGGATCCCAGGTGCGTGCCCTGCTGCTTCCTGCACCACACGGCCATAGCTGGGAAAGGGGGTCTCTAGGCAATGGGCAGGGAGCACTCCGGGATTGTGCTACAAGTGTGTGTGAACCAGGCACAATGCACTTTCCCTCTCCGTTTCTTCGCCCCCATGCCTGCTTCATGTAGTCGCTGCTGTCCTCCCAACCTTGCTTTTGCTGTCTGCCCACCCTCACTCCCCCCCCATTGGCGGCACACAGAGACATCATTTGTGAACATCAAGCGCATGGAGCCCATCACTGGCTTTGATGACATCCCCAAGGTGCGCCTTGCCATGCACCATGCACCATGCGCCATGCACCATGCACCATGCACCATGCACCATGCACCATGCACCATGCACCATGCACCATGCACCATGCACCATGCGCCATGCACCATGCACCATGCACCATGCACCATGCACCATGCGCTGTGCACCATCCACTATCCACCATTCACCATTCACCCACCCGCCCCGCTCAGTGCACCTCTTTCTTTTGATCGCACTCCCTTCCAAGTCGTCCCTACAGTTTCCATACTTATTCCGAACATTGTTCTCTCCCCCCTCTCTCTCTCTCTGCCCTTGCAGGCGCGGTGGCAGCTGCGGTGTTGTGTGTGCCGCATCCCCCACGGGGCGTGCATACAGTGTGCGGCGGGGCAGTGCTACACCGCCTTCCACCCGCTCTGCGCTCGCCTCAAGGGCTACCCCATGCTGGTGAGAGCACCCCTAACACATCTCCTTCACACACACAGCAGCCCAGAAATCCCTCTCCCCCAACTTCCCCACTCCACACGATGCACACGAGCAATCAGGACCAGCATGGAGCGCAGCCACCTTACTTTGAGTGTTGTCCCACAGCTTACCCTTTCCCTTCCTCCTCCCTTCTGCGCGTGTTGATGGGCAGACGTTGGACATGAGTGAGGAGAGCATGGAGCGCAGTCGGCTGCACGGCACGGTGGTGGGGTCGGTGGCCATGATCTGCTTCTGCCCGCGCCACCGCGCCCGCGCCAAACCCCTCCACGCCACGCCCTCCCTCCCCCCCCACCCCTCCGCGCCCTCCCCCTCCCCTGAACCCACCGCTGCTGCTGCTCCCACTCGCCCGCCCTTCCCCGCGTCTGACCCAGCCACATGCTGCTGCTGCTGCTGCTGCTGCTGCCTCCCCTGGCCCCTCCGATCCGCCCCCCAAAGTGCTCCCCATGGCCCAGCTGCTCTGCCACTCCTCCCCCGCGCCCCTCCCTTCCCCCTCCGCTGCCCGTGATGCTAGTGGGCAGGCCGAGAGGGGGAGAGAGGGGATGGGGGGGAGTGAGGGCGATAGAGATGAGGGAGATGGGAGCAGGGAGGGTGCGAGAGAGAATGGGAGCAATGGTGGTGGGAGGGCGGGGAGAGAGGGGAAGGGAGGGGGGAATGAGGGTGCCAGTGGGAGTGGCAGTGGGAGTGGCAGTGGGAGTGGCAGTGGGAGTGGGTGGAGTGAGAGCAGTGGAACCGGAGGGGGCAGCAGCGAGGGCGGGTGTGAGATGGACAGCAGCCGGCGGGATGCACCGCTCGCTGGCAGGGCGGGTGGAGAGAGAGTGCTGTGCGCTCGAACAGGTGAGATAGATTGCGAAGACCACAACTTTCTTTTGCCATTTTCCCTTTTTCACCCGTATCTGCGTCCGCTCTTTCCCTCTCCTCCCTACCCCCCCCCCCGCCCCCTTTGAATTGGCCTCACCTCTCCCTCTCTCTTGCCGCTCCTCCCCACCCCCCCCCCCCCCAGAGCCCTTCGATGCGCGCATACGGAGGGGGCGCAGGGAGCCGGACGCAGTGGCAGCCTTTTTGGCGAAGCGGTCGTTTCTGGAGAACGTGCCCTTCGCCATCTGTGGGCGGCGCCAGGAGCAGCGCCGCGTGCACGGCCCGTCCGTGGTGGAGGCCGTGCGCGCACACATGCAGCACGCCGCCTCCCACCCCGCCCAGGAGCACGGCGCAGAGGACGGGCACGTGGGCGCGGTGGGGGAGGGGCACGGCAGGGCAGGGCAGCAGGAGGTGTGCCGTGATGCGGAGGGGGTGAGGGACGTGGGGCCAGGGGGGGGCGTGCATGTGAGCAGGCTGCGGCGGTTGCTGCACTCGGGGCTGGTGGGGGGCGCGGAGGGGCAGGAGGGGCAGGCGGGCGGCGGGGAGGGCGAGGTGCGGTCGATGTCGGACCGCTTCCGCCGCATGAAGTCCACCCAGCAGCAGCGCCTCGCCTTCGGTGCGTGCATGCGGGGGCAGGGATGGTAATTTGGTGCATGTGTGTGCGGGCAGGTAGTGGGTGGGCGGGCAGTGATGGTGGTAGGGATGGGGATGCCGTGCTGGGCTCTTGGATGTGTGTGCCCGTCGTGCCAACACACGCTCTTCCTCCATTGTGTTTTCTTTGGTCCCATGCGGTTCTTCCCTTGTGTGTGCATGTGGGTGTGCAGGCAAGTCAGCCATCCATGGGTGGGGTGTGTTCGCCAAGACGCCTCATCGGGCCGGCGACATGGTGAGTGCCCACTGCCACCACCACCCTGCACGTGCAATTGCTCGTCTCTGGGTAAATTTCGCGTCTCATGGCATGTGTTGCATGCTCCATGAATTTCAGCATGTGATATCACTTCCTGCCTTGCCCTGCTCCACTCGTGTTCACCTGAATGTCTTCCTTCTTTCTCGTCTTTGACCAAATTTGTCTCCTTGTCTCATGCTGTGCTGCCCCTTGCTGCGCTGCCACATCAGATCATAGAGTACGGGGGCGAGGTGGTGCGGCCAGTGGTGGCGGACTTGAGGGAGAGGCGCTGCTACGACTCACTCGTGGTATGCACGCTGCTGCCTGCACTGCACTGTTGCGCCCTTTCATTGCTCTCACTCTTTTTCCCTAGGTCATTTCTCCATGCCTCCGTTACTCATCACCTCTAATTGGTTGATGTATGGCCGTGGTGTTTGATGCATGATGCATGGTGCATTATTTTGACACACCGTGTGTGATGCATGTGTGGCACGTGTGTGTGTGGTGCGTGCATGGCGCACGGCTGTTGGGTGTGGCACAGGGAGCAGGCACGTACATGTTTCGGATTGACAGCAATCGAGTGGTGGATGCCACCAAGGCCGGCACCATAGCGCACCTCATCAACCACTCCTGCAACGTCTGTCCCACTCCGTCCATGCCCTCTGCTTTCTGTTGTGTGTCCTGCTGCTACGCACTGCTGCATTCCCTCCTGCTCCTTTCTGTTATTCACATTTCTCACTCGTTAACAGTCTTCCCAGCTGCCAGTGCCTGCATGTGCAATAGCAACCCTTGTTACTGTCTCACGTATCCTGCCATTCCATCTCCGTCCCCTTCCACACGACCGGGCAGCCCTAGAACTGCTACTCGCGGGTGGTGCAGGCGAGTGCGGAGGAGCGCATTGTCATCTTCGCCCGCCGGGACATCATGGCCGGCGAGGAGCTCACCTACGACTACCGGTGAGGGCCCCGCGCCCTCCCCTCCCTCCCGCTCTACCTGCCGTGCGCCAATGTCCAACCGCCTTGTTGTTGAGCTGCTCATCCATCTACCGCCCTCTCGCCCGTCTCACATGCTTCCTCAACCATGCCCCGATGCCTCCTGACTGTGATTCCATCCCCTCCCCACCTCCCCTCCACCCCCCCAGGTTTGACTCGCAGGACGAGCAGTTGGCGTGCAACTGTGGCAGCAGTGGGTGCCGTGGCGTGGTGAACATTCTGAGGGGCGACGATGATGACGCCGATGGTGACGTGGCCATGTGGGCCCCTCGCAGCGAGCTACAGCCCTGGCAGCCCCCCACCGCCCCCCTGTGATGTGATGCCCTGCATGGGCGTGTGTTCATGAAAACACATGCCATTATTTGGCTACACATCACAGCACAAGGTCTTGATTATGGTTCTCCCAATAATGCCATTTGGCTTGCCTTTTAGGCCATGGCCCTCTATCCCTGTCTGTCAGTCAACCTCTGCAACGTAACCGTCAGAATACTAACCCAAGTAACACGTTAAGAGTATGTATACCGTAAATATTTGCTCCCTATTGACGTATTTGACATGGCTTGCATGTAACAAACAGTGCTGGGTCTTCTTTGAATCGTGATTCATTTGTTTCTTGGATGTGGAACAACGCCCCTGTTAGGACAGCTTGTTGGCACGGGCACCAAGGAAGCTTGCAAGCAAGGCTAAAGCTGCAGTTAGCTAATAGACTACGGTTACATACATCTGCTGCCCATCACAGGACACAGCATAGTAATAATTAATAAATACAAAACATATACGTTCGCGCATTTCCAGTCTTCCATGCTCTACTCAATCTCCAGCACAGAATCCTCGACGAGTGACGCACTGAGAGAGGAGGCGGCAGCGAGGTTGTTGGTGGAGCCGATGGAGCGCGCGAGCAGGGAGCGCGCAGCCGTGCCGCCATGCACGCTGCTCACCACGTTGAAGTCACTCACCACCGCCCCCGCCGCGTCCACACTCACCCCGCCCTTGAGCGACACGTCCTGCTCCCGTGCGACACAGGCACAGGGCGGAAGGAGGGGTGGAGGGGAGCAGAGGGGCGGAGTGGGATGCTCACACTGGGATGAGATGCAGCGGCAGAGAGGGGACACGCTGGAAGGGGGGATGAGTGCATGGGGAGAGTGGAAAGGGAATGGGTGGCTGACCTTGGACCATTGCGGCTGGTTGCGGGCGGCCTCCTTGCGGATGGCATCATGGTCAAAGAAGAAGACAACGACGGTGATGTCATCGTGGTACGACCGCCGTTGCCCCGACGCCATGCGCAGCAGATCGCCGTACGGCACCTCCGTGCGCTCCGCTGCGCGCCGCAGCGCGGCACGGATGAGCTGGCGGGCGATGTCTTTGCGCGGGGAGACGGCGACCATGTCGACCACCTCCTGGTTGCTGAGCAGCTCGAACAGCCCGTCCGACGCCACCACCACGAACGCATCGTGCGGCGCCAGCAGCCGCACCGCCACGTGCGGGTCCGTGGAGATGAGCGGTGGGTTGAAGGGCTCGGACACACGGAAGCGCGAGAAGAGCGGCTCGCGGTTGAAGTCGTGCGACTTGAGGTAGAGGTCCCCGAAGGCGCGTGTGACGGTGATCTTGCCCTTGACGCGGTAGCGCCCGCGCTTCTCCGTGACGGCGTCGGGCATGTCGGCGTGCTCCTCGCGGTAGCGGTCGCGGATGGCCTGGAAGCTCAGATTGTGGTCCTCCGACATCTGTAGCGCGCGACACTCCAAGCCGTCCCCCGTGTGCCGTACCTGGCAGGGCAGAGGGGCAGGGAAGATGGGGAGGGAGAAGGGGAGGGGTGAGTGAAGGTTGAATGGCCCAGATAACCCACTTACCAGTCATGCATTCCCCAGCACAGCACAGCACGACAGTCTCACCTGCCCCAGCACGGCACGGCAGTCGCCCACATTGGCGACCCAGAGGGCGCTGCGAGTGACGATGGCGACAGCAGAGCACGCCCCCACGGTGGCGAGGTGCGGCGAGTCGAGGAAGCTGTCCCTCACGCGCGCCGTGAACTGCCTCTCCGTCTCCGCAAACCCCCGCCGCAGCGCCTCCACCGACACCGCCCCTCCCCCGCGTAGGAACTCCTCTGGTGGAGGGAAGAGGGTGCGCGAGAGAAGGAGAAGAGTGAGTGGTGGGGATGCAAGCAGCAGATGGGCTGGCCGGCATGGCAGTGGAGGTGTGGAGCGAGCATGGCAGTGTGGCAGCGCTGCACGCACTCTTGAGGTTGTTGTAGAGCGTGTGGCGCAGGAACTCAGCGGTCTCACTGCCGCCGTGCCCGTCATGCACGCCGAGGTACACGCCCCCCGACCCCGCCTCCACCTCCACGGCGTCCTCCATCACGTAGTTGGCCTCGTACATGGCCAGCGACAGCTGCCCCAGCCCCGTGCTGTCCAGCGCCCGGTGCCACACGTCCCGCCGCTTGCGCACACTCATGCCCTCCCCGTCCGCCGTGCTGCGCCCGTCGCGCGAGCAGAGGCGCGTGGAGGCGCGCAGCCAGCGCGAGGGGCTGAAGAAGCCGCGCGGCACGGCGGAGAGGGTGGAGAGGCCGAGCTGCTGCCAGCGGCGCGAGGCGAAGCGGCGCGCGTGGCCGTGCTGGTCGCCGTCGATGTCGTCGGCGTCGTCTCCCCCGTGGAACACCACGTCCAACCCCACCTGCCAGTGGGGGGTTGGGGGTGGGGGGTGGGGGGGAGGGAAGGGGGTTCATGCCGCGACGGGCGCAGGGAGGGCGAGTGGGAGAATGAGTGGGGGCGGAAAGCATGTGTGGTGGTGGAAATGGCAAAAATTAACAGAGGAAAAGCATACGTGTGAGTAGCTTCCCTGCTCTTCACCTCCCACACTTTGCCTTCCCATGACTCTTACTCAACTCCATCACCCCCTGCTGTCCCCCTGCCTTGAGTCACGCCCTGGCTACACCTCGTGGCATGCCCCCTCATGGTGCGTCGCCTGCTCACCTCCTCCTGGTGCCTCTTGACGCGCAGCACGTCGAAGAAGTGCAGCCCGTAGAAGAGGAAGAGCGCCGTGGCGCCCACCCACGCGTACACTATCAGCAGCCCCAGGATCTGCCACGCCAGTGGACACGGGGAAGCAGGGTGCGAGCAGAGAGAAAGCAAGAGAGGTGGTGGGGAGGGAGGGGGGTGAGATGAAGACAGACCACGATGCGGGGAGAGTGCGTTAGTGGTGGCTGGCAGGCATCCGTATGTGCGCAGAAGAATGAGCTCACGTGCTCTAGGGGCAGAGGGCAGAGGGCAGAGGGCAGAGGGCAGAGAGCAGCACCTGCACGAGGAGCTGCCAGGCGGAGCAGCCGTAGAAGACGCCGCAGGAGAGGGGCTGGGCGATGTTGTAGGTGCGGCTGATGTTGGCCGGCGAGGCAAAGAACCCCACCGCCACCCCGCCCCACGACCCACACACCAGATGCACTGGAGTCGCCTGAGGCCACACCAGGGGTGTGAGGAGTGGGGGTTGAGGGGTGAGTGCTAGCGGAAAGGACAGTCAAAGAGGCGGAGAACAGGTGGGTGGAGTTATCCACGGGTCATAACTGAATGGGTCATACCTGCACGGGGTCATCTAGTTGGCATCGCAGCATGACCCACGTGCCCAGCAGGTACAGCGCCCCCGCCCCCATGCCTGCATGCTCACATGCACGGGCAGAGCAACAGCGAGACGGAAATGAAGGGACGAGGGTGGCAGGTGGCGAGGGCCATGTGGCAGGAGCAAGACCTGAATCAACTGCAGAGGAGACGGAAGATGCAGAGAGGCGGAGAGGGCAGGGGAGCAGAGGAGGCACACCGACGACGCATGCGGCCCAGGGTTCAACGAGGGAGCTGGTGGCGCAGGCGGCCACGAGGCCCCCGATGACGCCGTTGAACGTGTCCTCGGGCACCGGCTCTCGCCGCCGGTACGTGAGCGTCCACACCGTGACCCCGGCAGCAGCGGCGCAGATGGTGGTGTTGACACACACGCGCGCCACCTCGGCGCTCCAGTCCAGCGGGCTCTCCCCCAGGTAGTCCACGCTGCAGCCGTTGAAGCCGTAGAAGCCCGTCCACAGGATGATGGTGCCCGCCGCCACAAACACCTGCAGGAAGGGTAGGGCTTGGGTGAGGAGGGACATGGAGAGAAGAGGGCGGGAATGAATGAACATGTTGCAGCATGGCATTAGCATGCACAAATCCGGGTTTCAGCACAGTCACAGGGCGCTGTTCTTGTATGGAATGGTATGGCACCGCACCATGGAGTGGCATGGCATCTCACCATGGAGTGGCATGGCATCTCACCATGGAGTGGCATGGCATCTCACCATGGAGTGGCATGGCATCTCACCATGGAGTGGCATGGCATCTCACCATGGAGTGGCATGGCATCTCACCATGGAGTGGCATGGCATCTCACCATGGAGTGGCATGGCATCTCACCATGGAGTGGCATGGCGTCTCACCATGGAGTGGCATGGCGTCTCACCATGGAGTGGCATGGCATCTCACCATGGAGTGGCATGGCGTCTCACCATGGAGTGGCATGGCATCTCACCATGGAGTGGCATGGCATCTCACCATGGAGTGGCATGGCATCTCACCATGGAGTGGCATGGCGTCTCACCATGGAGTGGCATGGCATCTCACCATGGAGTGGCATGGCATCTCACCATGGAGTGGCATGGCGTCTCACCATGGAGTGGCATGGCATCTCACCATGGAGTGGCATGGCATCTCACCATGGAGTGGCATGGCATCTCACCATGGAGTGGCATGGCATCTCACCATGGAGTGGCATGGCATCTCACCATGGAGTGGCATGGCATCTCACCATGGAGTGGCATGGCGTCTCACCATGGAGTGGCATGGCGTCTCACCATGGAGTGGCATGGCATCTCACCATGGAGTGGCATGGCGTCTCACCATGGAGTGGCATGGCATCGCACCATGGAGTGGCATGGCATCTCACCATGGAGTGGCATGGCATCTCACCATGGAGTGGCATGGCGTCTCACCATGGAGTGGCATGGCATCTCACCATGGAGTGGCATGGCATCTCACCATGGAGTGGCATGGCGTCTCACCATGGAGTGGCATGGCATCTCACCATGGAGTGGCATGGCATCTCACCATGGAGTGGCATGGCGTCTCACCATGGAGTGGCATGGCGTCTCACCATGGAGTGGCATGGCGTCTCACCATGGAGTGGCCCTTGAAGGGCACGACCTTGCCATCGATGTCAAAGCGGCCGATGCGCGGCCCCACCATCCAGGCGCCCACCAGCGAGGTGACCCCCCCCGTGACGTGCACCACCATGGACCCCGCGTTGTC